CTCCGAATCGGGGCGGGGGCTGGCTGATTTTAATGCTGCTAACGAAATTTAATTGGCCTCTAAATGATTTTAATTGTGCCACTGATGTTGGCCATAAGTTACAACGCAAATGGCCGGCAATTGCAGATCCCACAGATTGCAGATTCCCCGTTCGTGTTGCACTTGAAAATGGTGGAGAAAAATTGCATCACTTTGGTAGGGGGGAGAGGAGCTGGACCTCCAAAGCTCTAATGAGCGGCACAACACATTTGAACTGTTTTCCAGCTTGTTGTTGTTCATTAGGGAAGATAGTTCTGGGCCTATCCTGCGGGACCCTTGTGGGTTCAAGGATTCATTTGAATCATTGCATAATTTTGTATGGACTCTTGGAAATTTTTACCCCACAATTCCTAGTAGATTAAAAGTAAGACTATACCTTTATGTATACAAAACTTTCCCCATTTATATTAATCCGATCCACCGCACTCAACTCTGTCACTGCCATTTCATTCGACATCAACGCTGCTGCTGCTGCTGCTGCTGGCATTCGTCATCCTCGTCGTCAGCGCGTCATGGCCGTCGCCCTGTCAAAGTGCCATCAACATTAACCCAAATGAGTGGAAAGACGATTATTAACAATAAGACGGACAACGCCCCAGTTCCACTTGCAAATTAATAACCTTTCACCTGAGTTTTAATTTAAATTCCCGCGACTTATCCGCCCAGCCATAACGATCTGCTACGGATCCGCCATCCACCTCTCGCATACCGACCTCCCATCGGAGACGGATATGAATACCTTCGTCAAGGGCTCTTGTCCCGGTCCCTGGCTGACATTTCAAATTTCGCAAATGTCAAAAAAAAAACCCGCCGTCCGCCGTGGATGCTGCTCATTTGTCTTTAAATTTGCCATAACGGTGGACCGAGAGCCGCACTTTTTAACACTTTTCACTTAGGCGGTCTGTCACGGGAGTCTCTCTGTTACATCTCGTCGTCCCCTATCTGTCTCCCCGAGGAGTGACTGTGGATGCGGACGTAGATGTGGATGTGTGTGGCCAGGGGCCAAATCTAAATGCTCTCGTGCAAGACCAAACGGAGTGCCGACCTGGCCGAGTCATCAAGCCCTGACCCACCTGGTGGCTCCTCTTGGTAGTTCCTTTCTGCGCCCGGGCACGGTCTTCAAGCTAAGCTCACTTTCCAGCCGTTGTTAAATAATTTCACAGTCTATCAATTAGCGTGGCGATCGCGTCAGCAGGATCGTGGTGAAACAGTGGTTGCAGCTCGCATAAGAATATATGAATATTTCTCTCTATATTCCCTCCACACCACAGCGACATGTACAACCACTGTGCATATACTGAATATGGTTGTAGGCAATTTTTCATAATGCTGCAGTTGCTTTGGCCACAGTGAGTGCAACGGCTTTCCAACTGCACCGCCAGTTAGCGAGCACTGAACACTGGACACCGACTGGACACCGACTGGATACCGACTGGATACAGGCTCTTATGACCTTAGGGGCTGGCAAAAGGTGGTCTCGCTGATGGCTTACGTCTGCGCTACTCATAAAATTTCAATTAATCTGCGTGTCACTGCACACAGACACACAGACGACACTCCCCGGAGATCTTTTTCTCTCTACACGAGTGCTATGCTAAATGGCAGCTACGGGGATTTAATTAAATACTCGTACCACAGATGATGCTATGGCTTATGGCCTGTATTAATAAGAAGCCTTCAGTTTCCTCTGGCTTAGCCGATTATAATCTTTGAATCTGTGCATCTTTGGATATGCCTTGGGGGCAGACAGCAAGACAACAAGTCCGAAACTCGCACACAAATTAATCTTCTTCAAATTAGCATCTTGATTAGCCAATGAAATGTGTAACCCATGCCCGAGAGCCACACTGCTACCCGACATCTCGGGGAGTTCGCTATAAAAATCAACAGAAAATATTCGAAACGCCTGGCTTTCGGGCCACTTTTTGATGATCATTGATCATTTCTGTTTGTCTGCTCGACTGGGACTCCGATTCCGATTCCGTTCGCATGGCTCTGCTGTTGATGTGATTACAATAATTAATCTTGCACGAGATTATTGTTTCTCTTCTCCCAGCCCAAAAACAACCAACCAGCAGCCATCACACGATCGCCCAAGACCAGCACCAGCACCAGATACCAATACCCAGACCCAGTTTGGAGTCGGAATGAGAGTCAGAGTCGAGAAGTCTTGAATCGTGGCTGGGATCGCATGGCTGCTGTTTGGCTGGTTTCCTCAAGGCGCCAGCTACGGGAACGGCGTCAAATTAAGTGTTTGTGTCGCTGTCCATTAATCAAAACATATCACAAATTTCGATATGAAAAAGTGTTTTGTATATCAAAGCAAGCCAGAAACACAAACACACACATACTTACTATACAGCATCGTACATCGTACAACTTGTTCCATGTCGTGTTCCCTGGGTGTCGTCGTTGTCTGTTCATTTATTTACATATACTCGCACTCTCCTGCGTTTTTCCTGGGCTGGTCTGCTCAGCAAATGTCACCTGCTGTGCCAACACCACACACATGTTGGCTCCACTGATTCCACTGTGGCAGGCCAGGCCAGGCTGCTTCCTGGACAGGGAGGGGCCCGCGTCCAGAGCCAGAGACCCAACCTTTGATGAATGATGGACAGCATCTCTGCCAGCATCTCCAGTTGGGCTCATTCATTTGTTGCACTCGCATTTGAATTCATTTGAATCGGGACGGGATGCATGCAGCTGGCATTTTGGTGTGCTACTGAATCTACTGCCTAATTGCTGCTCAAATCGACACGCTTGTGGCCATAAGGCTTGGCTCTAACCACAGCCGAAACTTGTTCACTTTTCGTACATTTTATCTGTTGCAAATATCAAAGACTACAACAGCAACGGGACACGAGACGCCTAGCCAATGTCAACAGGCGGCAATCAGGTGACAGCAGCAGCAGCAGCAGAGGCAAGGAAGGATGGGGCAATTATGTATAATAATATGTGCAACGGCCGCAACTGCAACAACAGCAACAATTGACCACTTGAGGTTTTCAACAAGTTTAAACAGAATGTGACACCTGCAATCGAGTGTGGCACAGACCACGACAAAAGCAGCAACAACAGCTACGAGCTACAAGCTACAAGCTACCAGCTAAAACTTCCAGCTTGTGGCTGCAGTTAAGGCCAAACCAAATTAAAATGCAATTTCGAAGTTCAACACCTCGGTCAATGGGAGCCGGACTGGCGATGTGGTTTCTGTTTCTGCCTCTCGGCTAATGACATCTGTCTCGGTAATCTGTCATTCCGGTATTCACATACATGCATACACATACACATACATACATACAGATGTATGTTTAGTATCTATGAGAGAGACAAATCGAGACAAGTTAATGGCGAATCGTTAGCTTTATAGAACTAATTATAGTGTTTAAGCGAGAAGATCTAATCCTAGGGGAAGCTGTTGCCGTGCCAGGCATACCGATCCGATTAAAACTTTATCTGGCAGATATGTTGTACATATGTATGCAAGACATTATGCATACCTATGTATGACATACATATATTTATATCATGACAAGCGCTGGTTTTACAGCCCTTGTTATTGTCGTTCAGTACTGACTTGAACCATTGCCGAAGTTTTAAAGCAACTGTGGTGGTGTGAAACCCGGCTAAATGTATTTCAAGCCGAAAACAAGAAAAACGGTGGGGCGCCCTAGCGGACTTGAATTCTACATTCATTTCTACATAAGAATCCTAGCACCAGCTACCGTATTTTTGCCACACCATACGGCAAATAATGTATAACTACACTTTAACTACAGGTGTAAGGCGCCTCTATACTTATTACATTTTACAGCACTGAATTTTATTAAAATGTAGAGTATGTAATGCAAGTGTAGAATGTAACGACATGTCTTCTCGCGACATGTCTATCTAGAGGTGGAAAAACATCGATGTTTGGAGACATCGATGTTTTCGATGTTTTAGTGAAAAACATCGATGAAACATCGATGTTTTGCAAGATAAAAAATATCAAAAATACATAGTTAACTGCAAGAACATGATTAAAATTATACATAATAACAGTTTTATTTCATTTGAGATCAAGAGTTCCTAAATCCATTCACAAAAATATATATGTATATATATATATATATATATATATATATATATAAAAGTACATTTACCAGATTATATCTTAAAAAGTCTTGATTCTTGTTGAGAAATAATAATTGGTGCACCACTTCCGGCTTAAGGCGGCTACGACGATCGGAAATAATTTGCCCACCCTTGCTGAACATCCTCTCTGACTCGTAGGATGGGCATAGCGACATATCTCAGGGCGACATATCTCCTGGCAGGCCCTAACGACATATCTCCGCAAGGAGATTTTGAAACGACATACATATCTCCTCGCGGAGTTTGGCGTCATATCTCCGCCCAGAATTTAGCGACATGTATCCTGCTAGAAAAAGTAACTACAGAATATATGTCGCCCGGAGATATGTCGTTACCCCGTAGGATGTTGCCAGGACGCACAACTATTTTTGGGCTCCAGCTTTAAGTGACATGCCGTCTGTATTCATCTAAAAATGTAACCATTTGAGCTTGATCTTCTTCTCTCTTTAGGTTTTTCTTTCATAGACGACAAAAACATAAAAACAAAACATCGATGTTTCGCCAAAAAACATCGATGCTTATAAAAATTTTAAAAACATCGATGCATCGATAGTAGCATCGATGTTTTTCCACCTCTATGTCTATCGCTATCCCGCTCGTCTGGGTTTCAAAATTTGAATGTCGTATAAAGTTCAATCAATGCCATGGAACTTGTTGCTCTTTGGAAGCAAATCAAGTAGTTTCTCGACTCTAATTACACAAGTTCCGAATTTCAAACTACAATCGTAGCCCTTGCTCCACCCATACCCACAAAACCCTTACTATTTTTTCCAAATATAGCTTATTTATTTACAATTAAGTACAATTAACAATTTTTAGGCATAGGTTTCTTATACAAAATGAATCAAGCTTAGTAATTACGAAATTTATATTTTCTGGACAATTACGGGGAAAACAATGAGAGATCAGGCGGTATTTAGATATAAAACGGTTTGGTTTGGTTCGACTAAACTCCGATTGAAGCTAAAGTTAGATACTTACAGACTAAGATAATTATTAGCTATGTTCGATCGCTCATCGTCGGATTCAGCTTAGTACAAAATGCTAGGAGTTTGTTCAAAGAGTCGGGCAAAATGGATGGATGCCTGGATAGGGCTACCGTAAGTCCAAAAAGGACTAATAAAATTGACTTATTTCAAAAATCTCGAATATGGAAAACTTGTTTTGTTGTTCATCATTCATACAATAATTGTCGTAGAAATGATATCCAAAATTAAAATGAACTAATCTGATAAGGCGCTTCGCAGGTTACCCAAAACAATTTCAATATTCTAGCTAAATTAGTTTACCTTAAGGCCATAGGAAGGTGAAGCTTAACTTAGGGTCAGTGCGGCTTAGCAGTAGGTTCGCTTAGAGTTAGGGTTAGGGCTTAGGAGTACAGTACAGGACAGACAGACAGTACAGGCGGTTGGATAGTCGAGAAGAGATAGAGAGAAGTTGGTGGCGGAAGGATGGATAGTTGGAAGAGAGAAGACAGTAGACAGTAGACAGTGGAGTGAAGTGAAGTGAAGCTTAGACCTGCAATCGAAACTAATTTAGTAAGAAATCCAAGGGAATAGTTCTGTGTTGTTCCATGCAGTGTGCTAATTAATTTATTTGCGTTCCGAGGCGGCCCTAATGGCGGCTCTCTTGCCCACCTGTGCCGGCGGCTGCTGACCCCCGCCGCCCTCCTGGGATCCGCTCTCCGCATCCGAGTCCTTGAGGGAGCCGCCCTCCTCGTCGCCCACCAGCGCCCGATACTTCTTGGCAATGGCCTCCCAGTCGGCCACGTTCTCGATGCGGTTCTGATTGGCCTGTGAGAAGCTGGCTTGCGATCCCAGCGGCGACAAATGCACCTGCGACAGTGCCACCGAGTCTAAGGGGCAAACAAAACGGGATTATAAATGCAAGATTCCTCCAGCCAGAGAGTGAAAGAAGGTTGGAAGTAGAGGAAGATCTTTTGAGCTAGAGCGAGCCAATGGTTAGGAGAAAGAGAGACAGTAGAAATAGACGAGAGAGAGAGAGAGAGATCGCGACAGTCTTACACGTGAGGAAAAAGACAGTTAGAGATGGAGATGGTGGAGTTGGTGACCGCTGTTAGCTACAGAACTCCCGCACTTGACCAACAGGGATACAGAGATAGATACCCATGCTATCGAGTAGCAACTGCAGCGATACATACTTGTCTCACCTTTCTTGATCTTCGATAGCCACTTGGCGCCGGCCTTGGTGCGGGGACTGGCCTGACGTATTCCCATCATCTGGACCAGACTTGGACGCTTCTTTTTCTTCATGCGTGCCTGTGTGGCGTTTGTGTGAGTTTGATCGAGATCAAGGCGCATTAGACACAGGACATGAATGACATACAAGACAAGAGACACAACATAAATGGCGATCAGCATTTGGTTGGACATCAAAAGCGTATTCTCAGTGACACAGTGACACAGTGACGGAGTGCAGAGTACGGGGAGTGCAGTACACAGAGTGTCGACAGGTGCTCGGATTTTACAGAAAAGTGACAGGTGGAAAGTGCTGAGTGTTGAGTGGGGGGTGGTGGTTGGTGGTGGTTGGTGTTTGGGCAACATTCACAATTGGTGAGATTCCTTATGCGGTTGTTGCCAAATTGCTTTAAATGGGTTGGGGAAAAGGTCAGTAGAGAGCAGCGGACTGCACCCGTCCGAAGGACAGTTCTGGTAGTAGTTGGCAGATAGATAGATATGTATATAGAATACGATAGAGAGGGAGATACATAGGTAGGAACAGCGAGGCTGTTGTAGCTTGGGGGCTTGGGGCTTGGGGAATTCAATTTACCTTGACCTTCTCGACGATCCACATAAACCAGGTGGTAACTAAATTAAGCGGCGAGGGCGCTGTTGTGGTGCGATGCATATTGCGTATAAGCTTTGACAAGCCAAATTTCCACTCGATGTCGGATTGTGCCTAGTATTTCATAGGTTTTGTTTTTTATTTGGCAGAGTGAGTTGATGGATGGATGAGGCATTGGCATGGCATGACAAGGGAGTACAAGAACACAGAGGAATATACGGGATGAGTTTCGTGAGCTGAAGCCTGGTAATTTTCAGTTTTGGCTTATAGATATACGTAACTTAAGAGCTGCAAAAAGGATCAATAAGGGAAATATGCAAATGCAGACGCCTGTTTTGGATGGCAATTTCCCAAAAGGTTCTCTCGAAATTGTCATACAAAACCTAACGTATTCATTGGTATATTTCTGTAGTCTTAGGGCTAGGACACAAAACACAGACACATAGACATGCAGCAACACGTTTCAAAGCATGCATTAGCCAGCACTGGCTAGGCTGGGCTGGGCAGGGCTCCTTGCCCAGCACTGGTCACAAAAGCAGGGCCGAGCAGCCCTTCTAGGCGCTAGCTAGCTATTCTTCTAAAGCTAAACACTAAGCTTTACTGTACTTCCATCTGCATGGTCTACCAGTACTTGGCTACTAGTCTACTAGTCTAAGGCGCAGTGTGGCTGTTTCGGCACAGGCTTCCATCTTTGAGATACAATTTGCTGTGAAAGTGTATCTCTCAGATTGCTACTGTTTTGGTTTTCCTTGAAAAAACCTGGAAGATGCAAGTCTGGGCGGTTGATGGATCTACAGAATGTGCCAGTAAAAAGTTCTCTAAACAATTCTCTAAGAAATCTCTAATAAAATACTCCAAAATCTTTTCATCTCAACTGAAAGTATTTCTTTGACAAAACGTTGCATTTGCTGAAAGAGACTTGAAGATTAGTTATCATTATGTTATGGCAAATAAGAGACTTAACTTAGGGATAGTATAATTATGTTGTATGTTGTATTTAGCATATGTAGGAGATTGAAAAGGATTGCTCAATAGAAGCGCCATTAGCAATACTACCTGGATTCGTTGATAGGTGTCTGACATCATAGCAATCAGCAGGTTAATTAGGACAACCACCGACACCAACATGTAAATGCCAAACACAATTTTGAACAGATACTCAACCCAATACGGTTGAGTGGGCGTGGCTACATTTTTGATTTTGTCAACTTGCGTTTGCTCGGTCGTCGTCTGACCGAACACGGCGAAGAACAGTAACTCGAACGAGTTTATCGGATGCATGCGCACTGTGTCCAGATATCCCCATACACAGATACCAGATACAAATAGACACCCCCGTTTCCGGACACGCACACACACCACACACACACGTAAGCGCATGTATTGGCCAGCGTGGAAATTATATTGAAAAATAAAAAGATAACGGACGCCCATTTTCGACGAGCGGTTGGCCCATTCGTTGACCAACCCCAGTTACGCCCATTGTGGTCCAATTGTGGTTCAATTTTGACGGTCAGGGGTTGTTGTAGTTATTACCATTAAAAGCATTAACATAAAATCATTCAATAAAGAGCAGAGATATATGTATATATGTATATGTATATGTATAAGGAAAAGAAAAAAGGCAGAGGAGAGAGAAAGAGAGAGGGAGAAATATTGGATTAGTGGCCTCGTCAATACAAACCTGAATGCGTTGATAAGTATCCGACATCATGGCAATTAGCAGGTTAATGAGTACAACCACAGACACTAACAAATAGATGCCAAAGACAAATTTGAAGAGCACCTCGGTCCACTCGGGACGCAAGTGTCGCATGGGATTGATGTCCAGAGTGGTCGTTTGTCCGAAGACGGCGAAGAACAGACGCTCGAAAGCCAGAAATGGCGTCATGGGTCCTAACACCGAACACATTCACATTATTCATATGCATTGACTCATACTTGATGCATGAGGCGATTCGTTAAGGCATGGCTTGCTTGCAATACACCCATATATATTTATATATATACATATCGGAGATACATATACACATAGCTATACATATGTTATGGTTTTGGCACAGGCGTGTGTGCGAGATACGAGCAGTAGATTGTTGGTTACATATTTGGGTGGATGGGTTGGGTTGGGTGAGTGCGTGTGTGGATAACACGTCAAAAGCGGCAGCAGAACACGTTCGCAGATCGCAGATCTGCGCATTGGGCGCATTGGGCGGTTCGAATTTCACTGATCGGCCAACGCATACGAATACGAGGATTCGATTCGATTCGATTGGTTTCGATTCGGTCTCGGGTGCAGAATTTGGTGGTGGGCAAGCGGGCACAAGCTGAAGCCCCTGGCAGGCGGGCAGTTGCGAATATATGGCAGAGTATTCTATATATTTATTGATTTTGACTTTTGCTAAACATCAACATGCAGTATTTTGAAATTTTGATTTAATACACGCTTCAAATGATTATCTTTGGATAGACATTGACTAAAATCAGTAAAACGAAAATCAAAATAAATAAATTAAAAATAAAAAGAATTCTGCTGGACAGCTTGTTGGTCTGTTTAGGAATCGGAAACTATTGAATTATAAGTATTTTAATTTAAGGAAAACAAGTGTCTCGCATTGAGGAAACTTTAATTGGAATTATTGAGACTCTTTGAAAGTTCTATACTTCTTCGAGTAGGAAGATGACTGGCTTGAGCCTCGTCAAAAATATAAATTGCATAAATCATAGCATCTATTCGTATTATTTAACATTTTACAAATAATAATAAATGAAAGAATATAACAAAAAAGAATAAAAATATAATTTATTTCATAATTCTGTTTTCCGTTTTCTGTTTTATTTAAAATCGGATTCAACTAAAAAAATACTCGATGCACAAGTTCATGTATAAAATGACAAAAAAAATAAAAGTATAAAGCTTTGAATATGATACCTATGAAACATTGATCCACAACATCAAGGATACAGAAAAGATGGGAAGGACCCCAGGGTCCGGGGCAGGGGCATCGCCTGGCCTCCTGCCTCTCTGGGGGTCCTGCCCCCACAAAACATGCCTCAAACGAAAGATTGTAACTGAAACGAGCAAAGGCTAACGTAACGCTGTTTGTTGTAAGGAACGAGGTGCGGGGAGCTGTTGCTTTTTCCATAGCACTGGAAAATAAGATGACAATAAAACTTTTACGCACAACATCGAAGGCGAGGAGGAACGGAACGGAGTGGAGTGGAGTGGCTCCGGTTCCGATGTGGAGTATGGGGAGTACGGTTAAGTATGAGTAAGGGGGGGGGGGGGGAGGGTGGGAGCACATGGGTGGACCATGCAAAGGCTGGGAGTAAGTACGAGTACGAGTACGATCTATGAGTGTATAGGACTTACGATCATCTTTGTGCTTGCGTCGGAACTCGCTGAAGCGATTATCGACATAGTTCTCCGCTGGAGGAGGTCGCGGGGTGGGCATATCATCTGTGTGTGTTTTGGTTCGTTGAGATCAGAGAGAATGTGTTATTAGTATGGACTGGCAGAGATAGGGGGAGACAGAGAGAGAGAGAGGGTGTGGACACGACATCAAGGGGTATTTTGCTGGAGGGTTGCTGTAGTTGGATTGGTTTGGTTTTTGTACTTTTGTTGAGCATGCAATTGTTGTATTATGTGGTTGTACGAGTATTATTTCTTAGGTGAACATCGAGCACACACACAGACAGATTTCATTCAAGGCAGATAATGTGGATACAGATACTTATCAAGACACATCGAACACGTTAAAGGAGGAAGTTTTGCGAAAACATTCCAGAAAAAAACAAACAAACAAACAAACAAAAACGAAAAAGGGAACCAAAAACTAGACAAAGTAGACTGGAGTAAAGCAAGGCAAACGTCCGGACTTACCGTCACTGAAGTAGCCCCGGTTGCGGTTCTTCTTCTCGAAGCTGCGCAGATCCTCCGGCGAGAAGTTGGCAAAGGACTGATTCAGGGCCACTATGTGCATGGAGAAGCCGAACACGAAGATGGCCAGCACGGCCAGAAAGCGGGCCAGATCCTTCAGCAGATCGCCAATGATGATGGCCCAGGGCCCGAACAGGTGGTGGAAGGACAGGAAGTCGAGGATCTGGACGCAGGCCAGCAGGAAGGCCAGGGCGAAGCACTGGTTCCGACAGTACACCATCGTGGGCCAGTACTCCTTCGACACGAACGCAAAGGCGGCCACGTGCACGCCCACCCCGGCCATGCCCAGCAGCAGGACCAGCACCTTGATGGACCCCAGACCCGACTTGTCCGAGGGATTCGTCAGCTCGAAGAGCAGCAGTCCGCTCAGCCAGATGAGCAGCCCGATCTCGTACCAGTAGGGGACCAGGCTGAGCCGCAGCACCGGATAGATGGGCGTGATGCCCACGATGCTCAGGTGGATCATGAGGTAAATGTGCGAGGTGAGGTACGACATGAACTTGATGATGGGCACCTTGTTGAACTTGTGGCCCATGGGGAAGGTGAAGCCGATCCAGACGGGCGGACACACGATGAAGGCCACCAGCAGCAGCATGATCTTCCAGGAGGCCCAGGTCAGGGAGCCGTGCCAGAGTTCCTGCAGAATCAAGCAAAGTTTAGTGAAGTTGCGGAAGGGACTCTCCCACGTCACACACTTGAAGATATCGCTGGACCACCGTGTGGGCAATGACCTCCTTCTGCTCGTTCTCTATGAGGACGTCGAGAAACTCCACATTGCGTTTGTCGGTGGCCTGCAGGATCTTCCCCGCTGAATCGGAGCCAGCAGCCAGAGCCAGGAGTTCGGTGGCCATCGTCTCGCATTGCTTGCCAGCAGCCACCAGATCTTTGGCTCGCTCTTTTTCCTACACAATGGAAATAAAGGTAGAGGTGGAGGTAAAGGTAAAGGCACTCGGAATCGCTCACCTTTGTGGATAGAACCATGTAAATGTTGGATAGCTTGGCGGCCGTATCCACTGGTGCGGGCGACACCAACACGAACTCTTGGATGGGCTTGTTGTTGTGGTTCTTGGACACAACCATCAGATTGTAGACGAAGCGCTTGTCCTCCATGAGGCCGTAGGTGTCGTGCTCCTTGTTCATGAGGTAGCGCAGCACCTCGTTGTGGCCCTCGGAGGCGGCGAACCAGATGGCCGCGCAGCCATAGTTCGTCTCAGACTTGGGCGAGGCACCGGCCTCGCACAGCAGCTTCACCACCTCCAAGTGACCGGCTTTGGCAGCACAATGCAGTGGCGTCCAACCGTTGCGATCGGTTGCATTTATCTCCGCGCCCTGTCCGAGCAGAATCTCCACCATCTGGATGTGGCCGTGCATGGCAGCGATGTGCAGGCCAGTGCGGCCATTCCTATCCGTTGATTGGAGGAGTTCCGCCGACCGACTCAGAAGCAAACCAACCACTGACATGTGTCCGCCGAAGCAAGCCAAATGAAGTGGATTGTAGCCCTGAAAACCAACAGATATTACATTAATATTCCCCTGGCGGAAATCAGGGGGGGAGGGACTCACGTTTTCCGTTGTCGCCGCATCAACCTGAACGCCCGCCGAGTTGAGGAGCAGTCGCACCACGTTCTCGTTGCCCGAGAAGGCAGCCAGATGGAGGGGCGTCATGCCCGACTCCGTGCCCAGGTCCCCGAACAGAGACTGCCCCGTGGGGGTCTCCGATTTCACCGTGGCGGGGACACTCGTGAGGAGTTCTCGGACCGTGTCCGCTTGTCCGTAGTACGCAGCCACGTGGAGGGGCGTTAGACCCAGCTTCTTGCTGTTGATCCTCAGGGAGTTGGTGCTTTTAAGCACGTCCAGCACCTGTCCGTGTCCGTTCTGGGCTGCCAGATGGACGGCTGTGAAGCCCGCCTTGTTTTCGTCGGTGCAGGAGGCACCGGCACGGACCAGGGCCTTGACCACATCCGCATGCCCGCCCTCGGCAGCCAGCTGCAAGGGCGTGGCATCGGTCAACTTATTTCTAGCCGAGATCACGCCAGACCGATCGAACTTCATCAGCTCCTCGATCACCTTCACAGATCCCTGCATGGCGGCAATGTGGGCACAGGTGTTGCCGTCCTTGCTCGTCGCGTTCACCAGCGACGGATGCTGCTGCAGGAAGAGTTTGGCCACTTCAGAGTAGTTGTTCTGCGCGGCGACATGGATGGGCTTCTGCCCCAGGTCGTCCGTCGCATCGATGTTGGCCCCCAGCTCGAGCAGCAGCTGGCAGACCTCCATCTGGCCGCTGGCCGCCGCCAAGTGCAGGGGCGTCTGCTTGCGCAGCGTCAGGATGTCGATCACCGCGTTGTGGTCCTTGATGAGGAACTTGACCAGGTGCGTGAACCCGTTCATCGAGGCCAGGTGGAGCGCGGTGCGGCCCACGCGAGACTTCGAATTGATGAAGGCCTTGTTCGTTAGCAGGGCGTCGCAGACGTGCAGGTAGCCCCGCTCGGCGGCCAGGTGCAGGGCCGATCGGCCCTCGGTGTCAAATACATCGACTCTGGCGTGATTCGCTAAAAGGTTGTTGACCAGCTCCATGTGTCCCCGGTGGCAGGCGATCAGCAGCGGCGTCCAGCCCACCGACGACTGCCGGTTCATCGCCTTCTGGATGTCCGTGGGATTCATGTGCGAGATCATCTCCATCAGCACATCGTTGTTGCCCGCCACGGCGCAGTAGTGGAAGGCCGTCTCCAGGGCCGTCTTCGTCTGCAGCGTCACGTCCGCTCCGTTCTCCAGGAGCATGGCCACGATCTGCTTGTCCGACTCCGGCATCTTCACCTCCTCCTTGGTAATTTGGCAAGTGTAGTGCAGCGCCGTGGCGCCGTCGTCGTTCACGGAATTAATGTACGTGGTGGCCTTGTCCGGGCCGTGCTTCTCCTTCACCGTCTCGATGAGGTGCCGCACGATCTCCGGATGGCACGATCGGCACGCCATATGCAGGGGGGTCTCGCCCGTCTACCAACAGAAAGTGTCACTCAATAATATACATATGTAAGCTGTGTGTATGGTCTACTCACATTGGACTTGTACAAGTGGATCTCCTCCGTCCTCCAGCAGCTGCATTAGCGTGGCCAGATTTCCATGACTGGCTGCCACATGGACGGGGGTAAGGGCGTCGTCGGTCGTGAGATTCGGACTGGCGCCCGACTTCAGCAGCATGAGGGCACAGCGATCTCCGTCCTTCACTCGCGCTGCAATATGCAGCGGCGTCTCCCGAAGCTTCCCGCCACGAACATGGACATCGGCGCCAAATCCCAGCAGCGTCTCCACGACGGCAGGCTTGGCCGACTCCACGGCTATGTGCAGGGCCGTATAGTTGTCCTAAAGAGTATCGAATTATTCTCTAGATCTAGATCACTTAACAAGGAAAAGACCCCTTGGCTCAGAAATGGTTACTTCTGGGCTGCTGCACTCCGTCTGCATTTACATAGAGGCAGTGGGAGGGGATCTGCCACCAACTGATTACAATCGGATAACCATTACAGTCAGAGTCAGGAAATAAATATTTATATTGTGATGTGAGTCTGCTCCTATTGCTGCGAGAGTGTTCAACGGACTTGAAGGCATCTGAATATCCTAAGATCTATGCACTGGAGTGCATGGTATGGCATGGTTCCCCCTACTTACATTCGTGGTGACGTCCACCTTCTCGCCCTTCTGCAGCAGGGTGTTGATGATGCCGGTGTGTCCGTAGGCGGCGGCGGTGTGTATGCTTCGGGCTCCCGTCCTTGTTGGGCATGTGGAGGTAGACACCCTTCTTGAAGAGCATCGTGGCGCACTCAGCATGGCCATTGAGTGATGCAATGTGCATCAGTGTGCTGCCATCCTTGGTGCGCTCGAAGATGCTCGCCTTGAATTTGTCCGCCAGTATTTCGATGACATGCGCATGCCCATTCTCGGCGGCCAAGTGCATCGGAGTGCGATCTGCATCGGAGCGGAAAACATGGAACAGACGGCATTAGAGGTGGTATTATCCTTGGTCCAGTTACGGACTCGCACTCACCTTGATTGTCCGCAATGGACGCTGAGGCACGCACGCCATAGAAGTACTTGAGTAGAGCCTCATCGCCCTCGGCGGCCGCGATGTGCAGCGGGGTCTGGCCCTCCCCGTTCTGCGTGTCCACGTTGGTGCCGTAATCGACCAGGATCCGGACCATGTCCACGTCCCGCCGTCTGGCGGCCAAATGCAAGGCCGTGTCTCCATTGGCCGTCGTTGCCTGCCACCGAAATTCGAGCATGAGAAATTGCACTTCATTTGGCGCATTTTATTTTAGTGGGGCGGAAGGCGTCTGCCCAACTGCTATGCATACGTTTCACCCCCCTCTCCCAAGTTTAAGCTGCGTTTTGGCCACACATTTGACCCAGTTTGCCTGCCGGCTGATTGCGTGTTCAGGCAGCGGCCAAAGTCAACCTCAACTTTAACTTTAACTTGAACCCTAACCCAAACACCGAATCCTCGGGGCACCGGCGCGGCGCCCCTTTGGTTAATTTAATCGACACGCATTGCTCTTGGCATGTGTTGCACTTCAACTTCTCGCAGCTGGAGTCGAAGCCCACAAAGTTGGGCTTCACGCAAATTGAAATTTTCCGCAAACTTTGTCAATGTCGCGCACTGTTGCACTTTTCCCCGCTGCACTGTTGCCGCACTTCACTTTACTTTACACCAAGTGCGTAGCCCAGAGAACGGAATTTACATTTTGATTTATTTACCCAGTTTGCGAACAGCTCAAGGCTCGGCATGTGGACATAATCTGACAGCCAAGCCGGACATTTGATTGGCATTAACGGAGTTGACTTTAAGGCTTGAGCCAAGGATGCACAAATCTTACATTTCAAATGCGTAGAACGTGCAAGGAATTTGCATATAATCGTATGATTTATTTGGCTGACATTTGAGATTGAAAGCAGATTTTGAAAGTGAAAAGGGGTCCATCTGATACGACTCTAAACTAGATGAAGGATCTGGTTTGCTTACAACCTCAGTTTAAAGCAATTCCTAGAGATTCGCAATGCCCATTTGTACGCGAATGATTTGTTTTCTTGTTTTTGATTTTAATGAAGAAATTCTGCTCTGTTTTTAGCACTTAGTCGGTGCCTTAAAAGCTTTGAAACAACAATGGGAAAGTATTCGTATTTGTAGAGTCCTTACATGGAGTCCGACCATGGATTGATTGTTGTGCCTTCCAAAATTAATATTTATATATTTTTTAAGTCCCTCAATCCCTTTCATGTTACAGATACCCCAGAAATCTTTCTATGGTAGTATTTTTAGAGCGCTAAAATATGGCCCCACACTAGAATGCTTATCACCTTTGCCATCCCGCTTAGAGTTATATATTTAGTGCATTGAAAATATGGCTTTCGTAAGCCAAAGATGTGTAAATGTTCCATGTTGATTTGCCTTGAACTCACCTTTAGTTGGTCCGCCGTTTGTGCAGACAGCAGCTCTCTGCACATGGACTGATTGCCCGACTCCACGGCCAGAAGCAATGGGATTTTGCCACGCTAGGTGAGAGATAGGTTGGTTAGCATACTAAATACATAATTATGATAGCCCTCCCGAAGAAAACAAACACACACACCGACACACACCCACATATGTACAATAATAATCATAAATATCCAATTAGCCAATTCGAGCCTCAAGTGTTAACGGCAACATGTTTTTTTTTGCGCTATTTTTAGCCAACTTTCGCAACTTTTCGCTCCAACTTTGAAACTGCCGAAGGCAACCCTCCCTTTCCCCTGCCAGACAGAAGGAGGGCCTGAGCCGGAGAGTGGGGGCGGAGTCATCAGCGCTATCAGGAAGCGAGGGAAGTAAATCAAGTTGTACAGCGACTTGACCCCCTTTTTTTTGGTATCCCCACCTTGTTGTTATTTGTTTGTTGTTGGCAACGAGTTGAGCGCCCTCGTGCGGGTGGAAATTCTTCGAGCGGGGAGTACAACTGGAATCCCGAGAGAGCGACTGGAATCCGCCTCGAGGTGCGTGCTAGTGTCATTGTGGCCCGAACAGCGTCGAACTGTTAAGCTATTTGGATGGTGTCCCAAAGAAGAAACGGAGACCGAATCGAAGGCCAAATACTTCATACAACTAATTTCGGCTGACAGTGGCATTATCGTGGTGCGGTTGCCTTCCCAGAATGGGCATGGTCTCTCCCTCTCTCTCTCTCTAATTGATTTAAATCAAGTTGCTGTTTGCCATTTACCGCACGGGAGCAGCACCATCGCATCGTATGTGTTCTATTCCAAGCATTGTGTCTAGACAATCAATCGGTGGCCCACGGATGAAGTCGATGGCAATTCGGAGTGTAATTTATGCGCTCCCGTCGCGTGCGTAATGGAAATATCGCCCCGTGCATTTGCACCCGTGCACGTGATGCGACAAATAGTTCCGCATTTCAGTTACTATTTCCCCTTTGTGGTTTGGGCAGAAGGGAGGGGAGCATTGTGCAGAAGGCGGGGTCCCGCTTTTCGGTTAGCCAATGCAAGTTAATCAGCGAAGCACGATGACGCTGATGGTAATTCAACTCTGACAGAAACTCGCTGACTTTGCCAAGAGTTTCTTTCGTTTTGTTGCACTGCGAGAAAGCTGAATGCAGTGCAGGTGATGGGAATATTTAAAGAATTATTTCAACAATATATTACATATTATAATCTTCTTTTAAATATCATTGAATTAAATGATAGCCTAATAGCCGTAAAAGAATCGCCTCCTTGTGTCTTCTTTTTTCAATGGTTTCTTGTTTTATATCATATTATTTCATATCATTTGAATCTCCGTAAATTATCACATTATAAAGAAAACCAAAAGAATGGTAAGGGCTCCTAAAACGGCATTTAGTAGACCTGAAATTTCATGTATTCTTTATATATGAATTATTTACTTGGATAAATATTTTCTATCAACTATTGTTTGATATTCTTCTCAAAGCTCTTTTGATAACGAAATTAGTTGATTCAAAAACAAAATTCTCTATGTTTTTTCAGTGCATGTGAAACAGGAAAATCTCCTTTATTTTTTTGGTGGGCTTTCTGAATTTTCGGCTAGTCGAAATGCATTTGCAGTGGGCGGTTTGGCATATCGATTTTCCACAAATTTTGTTTGCTTTATTGTTGCTGATGTTGCTTTATTGTTGCTTTACTTTTTTGTATATATACTAGTTTTTGTTTTATATATTTTGGTGATTTTTATGAAGTCTCTGTTTACGTTGGCACCGCCTGGCACTGGAGTCGAGTGTACTCCATTGCTGCAGTACGAGTTCGAGTACGAGTATGTGCAGCTCTCACAAGCGGAGATAACTGGGCATCAATGTTGCTCGTTGCCAACACTTGTGGCTCGCCACGAGTACGAGAATTACTCACATTCATTCATTCACTCACATGCACACTTGGTCACACTTACGCCGTCTGCTTTCACGCGTATATCCTTGCCAGCAGCTGCGAGGAGAGTGCGCAGGATATTTGTTGCAGTTCCGGTCTGCCGACTTGACACTAAATGCACCGCAGTCTGAAAGCGCGACTGAAAGATGGAAAAAGATACGTCACATAAGATACTGTTTTATTTTGTATGGGAGATGTACGCGTAGGTGTGTACACACTGGAGGGTTGGGGGCACGCACTGATTGGCTTGGCAACACCTTTATGTACGAGCAATAGACGGGAATGAATTACTGCGCTCTGTGCCGTCGTTTGCTATTTGGTTAATGTTCACACCCAAAGACAGTTCCCACTCGGTTCAAAATCCCGTTCGCTACTGAATTGGTGAGTGGCTCGTTTTTGCGTTTATAAGCACATTCGTGTCACTTTTCCTCCACTCCATTTCAGCGGGGGAGCGCGCTAAGCTCATATCACAGATTGACAGGCAAAAAGAAAAAAAAAAAAAAAACTTATGCCACTACTCACACTGACAGGCCGCAGTGGGTGGCCGCGGAGCACAGGAGCACAGGAGCTTAGGAGCACAGGACTAGGGCTTAGGTTAAGAGAGCGGAGGGAAGCGGCAGGTGTTGCTCGGATAGTGTAGGGGCAGGTGTGGCACGTGGGATGGTGCTGATGTGAATGCGGAGCTTGCCACGCACACACGCCAACGGGGAGCACTTGAAACTTTGCTGTTGCCAAAACAAAAAAGTTTGCATCTGCCCCAAAGCGATAGAGCCATACAGGCCATACATCTCCCCCTCTCTCCTTCGATAGCTCTCCCTTTCGCTCCTAATGGGTGCTCTCTTCTGATAAACATCAGTAATTTGGGTATGGCACACGCCCCTTAAACCAGCAAGCCCGAAGAACTCATTGCGGCAAGAAAAATGAAGAAAATGGTATTAATTCCAACACGAAAATGAGATTTAAGAAAGACTCGACGGATACCTATGGTTGGCTATTCTTATGAGTAAATCTTGGATACATTATTTTATAAGAAATTCCACACTTAAATTTAATCAAAACTTGAAGCTACAAATCTCCAAACTATCTGAAAACTTAGTCCCTTAATGAGTGCACTTCTAATATCAAGACCCAGTTGGTAACTTAGGATTTTCTCAGTTGTTTCTTTCCCCCTCGCTTTCTCTCTCTTTAAAGCGCTGGCTATGGCTTTAATAGAGTCGAGACTTTGCCATCATAACCTTGTCGCCAGTTAATTGTTGGTTCCCGCCAAAGTCACATGCAACATGCGAGCCACAAAGTGTTGCATCTTCGGGTCTGACCTTTGCCCCTGGCAGTATGCGTCTAATGGCCTCAAATTGCCGGCGAGGCATTCGTCATTAATGAAGCTGATAGCAGCCCCAAGGATCCGAGCTATGCATCGATTTCCATTGCCTCAAGCGTGTGGGGAGTCCGAGGAATCGGGGAATAACCAAAGTGCTTACGTGTCACCCCTGGATGGTGGGCTATTAGGAAAAATTTCATAATAGTACAAGTGAAGGGGCTTTGAGAGCTTGGTACTCGTTCTTGCAGGGTATATATGGGCAGGGTATATGATGAGGTACTGGAAGGAATACTCACGCCACCAGTGGAGAAGGGATCCACGCCGCGTTTTGTTAGCAACAATTTGACGACATCCTCACGCGAATACATTGCCGCAATATGTAGCACATTATAATTATCCTGCAAGAGAGAGAAGAGAAGAACGGGAACTTAAATCAATTGCAATTCATTCGCAGGAAACTCCCGCACTCAGTGCCGGGTCAGTTCAATGGGTCAAAGTCAGCATTCGCTTTGCATGTGGAGCCAACCGACCAGCGGCATCAGGGTGTGGTTGTGCCTTTGTTGATTACTTAAGCCACAATCTTGCATGCGGACTTTCACTTACTGGCATTTCTTAATGGCCCTTGCAATGGCCCAACCTCACATGCAAAAGCTGCATCAACCGCTCCAGAAAAGCCCCAAAGAAACAAAAACAGAGAATTATGACCCTGACCAAATCACCAAAATGAAAATGACTTTAAAGATAACGTCCTACCAAATATTGGCCTGTATTTGGGCGACAAGTGGGGATTATAGGGTGTGAAAGTGACTCATATGTGAATTGGGGCGATGGCACTAAATATTTATTGCCTTATATAATGAGCCATAACGCAATGTGCTACACATACGCCCCGTGGGCCCCGTGGTCCCCGTGGGCCGTGTGCCCCAAGCCGTCAACGTCTTTGACTTAATTTATAACTAAGCCTCCCCATTGTTCTCAACCAGAACGGAAGTGAACTAGTTTTATATACGTATGTGTATTGTATTGTATGGGCTCCTAATGGCTCCCGAGGTCTTTCTGCACTGTCATCGGGTTGGCAGGTGGAAACCAGAGCTACCAGCTCTGGTAAGTGGATACATTCGATGAAGGCTTCTGGTTCCAACTTTCCAAGAATCAAAACTGAAACGCCGCTTGGCGTGCAATCATCGAGTACTTTCCCATGGGATTTCCCTTGAGTAAATAGAGTGTGTGGGCTTCGTTGCATGTGAAATTTGAGGTTTCTTTTGGTTTATTTGCGACTATTTCTGGCCGCAGCTTTAGCTAATTTGCATAAAACGAACGCAAGCCGGCCGAATAACGTCGAGTCGACGGCTTTGACACATGTCCAGAAAGCCAATCCAAGACGCTGGGGCCACTGGGGCGCTGCATAGAAGGAAAAACCAAAGCAAACAGAGCCGCGCTCCACACGTGGAGGCACGGCCTGGCATGGCCTGGCCTGGTCTGAGATTGGGCTTGTGGCATGGCAGTACGGGCGACTGGCAGCCAGGCAGACAGATAATATTTCACGCGCTGTTTTGCATACTTTTGAGTCAAGTCGAATCGGCGGGCCTCGAGGCTCCTCTTTGGGCCTGTGTCAGTCTGTTGTTCCTTGGCGAAAAACGAAAGCAAAAACCGGAAACAAAACCAAAACGGAAGCGCAAATTTTCCAGCACATTTTTGCCTTTTACCATGGGTTTTTTTGTTTTGTTTTTGGGAGGGGTAAAAGAGAGTCACGACCCAGTTTTTGTGGGTGTTTACGGCGCAGATAAGTGTGCTACGCTTTCTTGGCCAGTTGACGCCCCGATGTTGCAAATGAAGTCATTCCGGCAATTACTATTACTCCGCATTGTCACACACCCTGCAGAAATGCTAGAGCCCTTTTAAATAATTATAAATCCGCATTAGGACGGTCTTCTATGCTATGGGGGTACGTACACACCCGTGCGGCTAATGAAGTACGTAATTAATTTTTGGCACACGCACTCATCGAGTGGGTGGGGGAGTGACAAATGAAGGAGCACATTTTATTTACGCTGTCATCGCCACATATGGAGAGGCTTCACAGTGAAGTAGAACTCCACTCGAGCTTAATTAAAATTGCATATTAATGACGCCACTGGCCATAAAAATGTAGCGGAAGTGGCGCCTGACGTCGAGGTCTTTCTCCTTATCCTCACTCACTCACCCGAAAGGTCAGGCCCGAAATGCCGCAAGTGGAGTGTACGAACGGGGCGTGCTTTCCAGTCATGTGCTTGATTAATTGGCTTTTAAGTTGCAAAGAGGTGTTGCTCACGGCCTCACATGCTGGCACCGCCCCGAAAAGATCCACCCGAAAGAAGTTGAGAAGTTAAAAATGTTAATTAGGCGGCAGTTACATCATATAGGAGTATTCTTTATGACCATTACAATGGTCACGAGTCTTGGACTCGGCCTGTCGTGCTGTGTCGGAATTACTTTTGACTGACATTTGCTTAATTTGCAAATTGTTAATGCAATAAACAATTTTTCTTTTTGGCCAGAAGTAAGGCTAAATTTTTAATTCATTTAGATGGAATGGTAGCTGGAGGCTCCAGCATGGAGCATAAATGTAATTACTTTCCGGAGAAACTAAGGGAGTGACATTAGAAGAGGAAGATATTATCTTGAAATGGACTACAACCCAAAATGTTTCTCAGCAAGGTGTGCCGTGAATAATGGGATGAAGAAAATGGCGTAATGTACATAAGTTTTTTTTTTTTCATTTATAAAGTCATGAAAATAAATACGTTAATGATGCAATCCAATGTTGTGGGTTAGTCACTGAAGGAGAAAAGAATTGTCTTATATTCTCTGGTATTTAATTTTGTAACTGAATTTTCTCTGATAAGTTTATTAAGGATATCTAAGGGATATATATTTTATTCCTTTAGTGGAGGGGGCAATAATATAGAAATCAGATATTTAAACTGAGTTCCATAATAGGATCTACCAGAAATGTAGCTATATACAGATAGATCCTGGCAATGAGATACCTAAAGCCCATTCTAAGGAAGAAGCTCTTAATACTAAAATATCTCAACAGTGTCTCCTTATTATAATTGGATTGGCTTGCCTACGAAAGTGCTCAATTCCGTTTCTCCTAGCTACTTTGAATGGCGATACAACAGGGCCTTCAATAACAATAAAACACTCGTCAGGGCTTGTATTTCGCAGTCCAACATTTTCATTTTCATGTTCAATTGTACCTTTAACATTTGCCCAAAAGTTGGTCGTCTTTTTCTGTACGCTAACAAGATTTCTTAACCTTCTTTTATGAGCGGAAGAAACAGAAATTTCTGTGTTTGTTTTGGTAATTTAATTCGCAAAGTCTCCGCTGGTCTCCCTGGCTTTGGTTTGCCAACAATTATTTTGTAATTAGGTCAAGGATTTTTATCGTTTCAGGGCTCCAAAATGTACGCGCAAAAGTAAGTGGAGAGCTCTGAGGCACTTGTGGCAGAGCAGCTACGAATGAATTGTGCTAAGTAATTGCGGCATGCAAAGGCAAAACCCAAATGCGGCCAAGTGGTTTCCAGCCAAAAGGCCGATGCCAATTGGTCACTTCATTTGCAGGGCAGAGGCTTTGACATCCACAAGGAAAATTGGCAATAATCACGATTATAAATGGGAGAAGAAGTAATGATGATGGTCATCATCGTTGACCTTTGATCTTCAAGACTCAATCTGTATTCTGGCGATGACTGTAAGAGTCGTTAGCTCTTACGGAGTTTCGGTAACTAACTATTATAATATTTTAATAATTTAATTTTGCAAATTTCTCTTCACTTTTTGAATAACTCTTAAGACCGATTTCAATTCTCTTTCTTTATTGCTTTTATAATAGTTTTTGGAATGGGACATCATGCACATTTCTATATCCCAAGGTTAGAAATAAATTATACACAGATAAGAGTTTATCTACGGTTGAAGCTTCAGTCAAAACATATTCCCCTAATGTTTTACTTTGTAAATATCGTAAAAGAACAAAAATACAAAATCCAGATGCCACCCCAAGGAACCATTGACGAAATTCCCCAACCGGACTCTTGCGTGTTGTAGCTCTGATTTACTCAAAAAACCAGCCACTAAAGTTAACTGAATTCAACACAACTCGACTCGACCATCGGCCAAGCGCTGTTCGGTTGACCCATTGAGTGGAGTCGCCGGGAATCCTCGTCAGTTCTCCCAGCAGTGCGTGCAGAAAGTGCGTGGATGTGGCTGGTGTCGGGAGTTACCCATTGGCGTTCCCAGTGCGATATTTAATTATGCGGTTTTTATTGATTTGACACAATTTCAGCGGCTTCTGTTGGCTCCGCCGGCTTAAACAGCTGCTCTGGGCTAAATCGGTCTCTTGCGGGCAGTTAGGAGCTGCTTTAAACTTCGAGTATGCCTGGGCCATTGCTATTGCTATTCTTAGCCAAACACTTACATTATTGCGAGCTCCCACATCGGCGCCCAACTCAATCATGCGATCCATTATGGCGCTCTTGTTGTCCTTGGTTGCGTACATCAGCGGTGTCATGCCGGTATTCTGAAACGGAATACGATAAAGATAGCATCAGAAATGTTTTAGTACTAAACTGAGGCAGATTATCTTGTACACAAATTGTTCGAAAGTATAGTGTCCACGTTTCCCCTTTCAACTTTCTTCAAAGTATCTCAAAAGACACCTTCCCATCTGATGTTCCTACAGTCGTTACAATTCTTAGCCAAAACTGACCTCGTTATTCTAACTGAAGTATTTGTCTATTAGTAGCTGGATGAAATTAATTAGAGCAACCAACAGGTTCTAATAAACTAATCAACTAATAAACAAAAATTTAACAGCATTCTTAGCACACAACAGTTTTGACGTCATCTCCAAGATTTCATTACAAACAGGGATATAGTTTTCGGTATTCCACAATAAGATAAATGTTTCTTAGAAAGATAGATTAATTTACTGTAATGAACTAATCAATCGGCGGTCTCTATTAACAGAAAGAAAGCGGTGGCAATACCTTCAATAGCTACTTCTAGTTTTGTTTCCAAAAAAAATACCAAACGTATATTTATTCTGTATTTTGGATGCCATTTCTATTAATAAATATGTAGGTATATAACTAATTTTAGTGAATATGCTCCATATATATCCAATATTTCTACAAAATCTAGATCCATATTAAATGAATAAAGTTTAATGAATATTATAAATAATATGAAAACCACAATATTTTCCCAATTAATTAAATGCATACTTTTGGATAAAATACACATCCAAACGAATAGAAAAAAAAAGAAATTTAATAGGATTGGTCGCTTTTCTCTGTCTAAATGCGTTAAAAAATCGTTATACCCTGATTTATATTTTCAACTTCTAGAAAAACTGTCTAAAAAAAGCTTAAGTGATACTTAAATATTTTCCAAGCTGCCTAAAGAATGAATAAAATGCAAACACTGCTCCTACTATCTGAATCAATTGGCTCGGTACTAGGCCTCTTGACCTCATTCTCAAGCAGTCCAATTCATTACATTCATCATCATTATCATGGAATTGGGATTGTTCCGCAATCCGCAGCTGATATGCGGTACTACTCGTTCATTTACATACATATAGATTCCGATCCCCTCAATCGGCTGAGCCTTTACCGCAATTATAACGAAATCAAGAGCAAACCCATCAAGCCGAGACCTGAATGAAGGGCTCGAGCTCCTGCAAGTAAAGCGAAAATAGCAGAGGCAAAAATAGCTCTGGCAGAGTGGAGGCCATATTTATGCAAATATCCTCTTGGGCAGAGTCTAGTCTGGCAGACGTGTCCCCTCGCCTGTACCCTTTACCCCTTTTGGGTGTCTAGTCTGTTACCCTGCATTTGATTAGCATTGGGCTGTGGCTCGATTGTCCTCGACGGTGCAACGTTAATTTTATGTCAACGACTTTTTCGCTTGGTATTTTTATGGTAAATTGAAATCGAAGCGCTTCAATTTCCCCAATGTTTTATGAGTTTATCGGTTGGGTAGTCAGCGCAACTTGTGGCAGGACGCCACCGAGGCCCAGACCCAGAGCCAGAGTCAGAGTCAGAGCCGAGCCATTGCCTTGGCAGCCAAACATTTGGGACGCGCTATCAAATAACATTCTGGCCTGGCCTCCAGTTTCTGTTTCTGTTTCTTTTTCTGTGTACTGTGTGTCGTTATTTTGGCTGGTAAACAACCAGAAATGGGAAAATGCCGCCGACGTTGATAAGGGCGACGTTTGTACATAGCATACATCCCGTTTCCTATACCTATTCCTGTTCCCCACCGCTGTTGCCTATTGCCTATCCCTGTGGCTGTTCCTGTTTATGTTCCTGCGCCTATAACTATTCCCGTTCTGCCACAAAATTGATTTTACAAATTACTCGTACACTAGGGTGTAGTGTAGCAGGAGTAATCTGCCTGTAGGAGTAACAGTGGCTATAGCACTCACCATATCGTGTATTCCCGCCAGGGGTATGTGATTGCCATCTTCCCCCACATTGGCCACATACTTCTCCAGTTTCTTGAGCTCGGCTTCGATGGGCGTCCACTCGCTCTTCATGGCCAGGCTGAGCACCTTGTTGGCCGTGTCGCGTATGGAGGCGCCGGCACTGGGCGGCTTGGGGGCCGGAAAGAGGTCCATATCCTTTTTGTCGCCATTGCTGGAGCTGTCGTCCTTGGGATCGGATTCGGCTTTACTCGCGGGCGTCGCCCGTTCGCTCGGCGTTGTCGACTCGTCCGGCGGACCGGTCAGCGATGAGGGGGTCTTCCGGCCAACGCCAGCGCCCCCAGCACCGCGTCCACCACGTCCTCCGCGCGGCTGAGACATTCTGCTGGTGTCGGTGTCCTCCGTCTCACTCCCCGTCCATTACGAAAGAACGGCGGGAGCAGGAAGAGCAGGAAGAACAGGAACAACGGGCGGGGTACTTTTTGCTTTTAGCTTGTTTGCGAGTATATAGCCATTATGCGGTTTTCGCAGTGTATTTCCCGATTATTATAATTCCTTTATTGATTTGTGATATTGTAAAATTTGTACTTGGCACTCGCTTCGCACTCGCATTGCACAAATTCTGTCGGCCTCCGCATTTTACCAATATTTGTTACCAACAATTTGCATTTTCATTGGCAACACACTCACACCATCATAGACACACTCAAACACACACACACAAATGCACACACACACACACACACATGCACGGAGAGAGACAGAAGTCAGTACACATTCGGAGAGGTAACAAAAAACGTTTCTTGGCTTCGGCTGCCCACTTTTCTATATGTTTCCTGGCTATAAGGCCTATGGGGAGCAGTAGCTATAGCCAACACATCCGCTTGTTATTATTCCACTTTGATTCTTTCGCTTTCTTCACTTTTACTACACAAATTTATATGTTTAGCCCCTTTTATGGTTTCGGTTGCGTGTGCGTCAACGGTTATGCCCCCGGACGGCGAGCGGTTTGTAGTCCTTTGCCCCGTTCGACCACTGCCACTGCCACTGCCTCTCGCACTGATACCGCAGCTCCAACTCGCACTCAAACTCGACTCTGAGCCACCAACCGTTTGCCACGAGCGTCTGCGAGTTTCTGATTTGCCAGCCCCAAAACTTCTTGCCACAGAGCTCTGATGGGACTCGAGTCGCCTCAGCACCTTGGCAACACGACGAAGGAGCCTCCGGCGGCAGCGAACATCCGCGCAAGCGTCTGTTTACAATTGTTGAATCCCCACTCCGGATCCGCATGACACAGTTTTTGGCGCCAAAAGCGAAACGGAGGAGGCACAATTCTGGGAAAACTTCTCACGTTTCCTTGGGATTTCCATGGTCGCTTTCGCTCTCTCTTGTTTTGATGTGAGAGCCGAAAGGGGTGATGGCTTAGAGATTCATTGAGTGCTTTTTATTTTCTTACAATAATCTGATTTTGATCAAACAAAGAACAATTTTTCCCCTCTATTATTGGCAGTGCACAAGAAAAGCTCTTGAGAAATATGGAAATATTAAAGAATTAAAACGAAACGGATTGGTTTCTTTTGCGAGCAAATTTCTTTAAATGGTACAGTTCATAAGAATTCAGGTACATTACTGAATTATGATTATAATTGTATTATTATCGTAAAATAATAGCATACCTTTAGGCTGAATGTTTTTTTCTTTTAATTATACTTTATTATTTGCTTTTAAATTGTTACAATAGAAAAACAATTACTTAACTTACTGTTACTTTGAGTAGCAACTTATTTTAAGGGGCTATAAAAAATTTATATTTAAAAGATTTTTATAAAAAATGCGGGACAATTGGGGTTGTTTAGGGGGGGGTTTTGAACCAAGGGTTGCTTTAAGATATATTAAATAAATATTTAAATATATTAAATAGCTAGATCTGCCGGGTGAAATCGTGTAAGTCGAAGTCTGGTTCCGCTTCGCATGAGTCTTCTTGCCAAAACTTTCGGCTTTAGCGCTCAGCCTGCGCATTTATAATGTCGCCAAAGGGGTCGACCACAGTTGAATCTCTCAGAGAAAGTTACAAATTTATATTTTAAAGGGCACATAGGATAGGGTAACACTGCAATGAAAACTACGCCATTTCTTATTTGGCTTTGATTTGAAAAACAAACAAAATTTATAAAATTTCAAAAATAAAACCAAAAAAATACATAAAAGAAGGTCAAAATGATTTGCTGGGGCCAGCGCAATGAGTGCGGCATGCTGTGCAAAGACGACAGCTACTGCCGATGCGGGATCGGGGAATGCATCAAGGATTTCCCCGTTATCGAGCGAGGAAATTGGAGGGAAACGGAGCTGGCGGATGTCGTGCATGCCGCCAATCTGCGGTGCCACGAGTTTCTCAAGAATCTGGGCTCCATGGTGCAGATCCAGTCGATCAGTCAGGGCGTGGAGTACGAGACGCAGAACATGCAGATCGTGGAGCGCGTGACCCAGCACCTGGTCGAGATGTCTTTCAACGTGGAGACGATGCAGGTGAAACCCACCGTCGAGGGCAGCGATCAAACGCAGTATGTGCTCTTTGCCGAATACTTTTCCTCGCCTGCCAAAACCAACGTTGTCATCTACGGCTACCTGGACGTTCCGCCCATTGGCGAGGAGGAGAAGTGGACCCATGATCCCTTCCAGATGACCCAGCTGGATGGGATGCTGTACGGCCGCGGAGTGGCCACCTCCAAGGGTCCGCTCATGTGCTGGATATACGCCTTGGATGCCTGGCAGAAGGAGATCGGGGACCTGCCCGTGAACGTTCGCTTTGTGATCGAGACAAGCCACTACCAGGGCAGCAACGGACTGCGCGGCATCATCCACGACCGACCAGAGTTCTTCAAGACCGTTGACCTCATCATTCACTGCAGCCACTTGTGGATTGCGGACCACGCGCCCATGGTACCCACCAGCCACACCGGCTACGTCTTCTTCGAGCTGGAGGTGCGAGAGAACACACGAGCCAGTCCCGAGCTGAGGGCTACAACGGGCCACGAGCCGATGACCGAGATGTGCCAGCTGATGAACTCCCTGATGGACGTCAAGAATGGAGTCCTGGTGAAGGACATCAACAGGCATGTCATGCCGCCTACGCACAAGGACTGGGACATTTTTTGCCTTGCGGAGGTCGGCACAATGGAGTTCAAGGACACCTGCGACATCGAACGCCTTCCGTACGAGCGGTCAAAGCAGCAATACCTCCAGCACAAGTGGTGCTTGCCCAGCCTGTCGATACACGACGTCCGGGTCAACCAGCCGGAAAGCATCCGCAGCCTCTACAAGCCCACGCGCATCGTGGCAAAGTTCTCGGTGCTGCTCGTGCCGGAGCAGAGCATGGAGTACATGAGGTACTTGATCAAGGATCACTTGGATCAGGCCTATCTGCGCCTGGAGTGCATACACATCGCCCGCATTCGGGTCGTTGACCAGTTGGCGCCACTGAACGAGTCCCGCCACGACATCTTCCGCCGATCCTTCAAGGACGCCTTCGACAAGGTGTTCGACTGCAAGGTCCACATACCAGACACCATCACCATCAGTCTGCCGATCGTGAACGATCTGCGCAAGTTCTGCATGCCCACAGCCCACACTTTGGCGGTGCCCTTCGCCTCTGTCCACAGCCGCCCTTACACCGGAGACGAGAGCATCAGCGAGAAGATGTATGGCCAGAATCTGGAGCTGTTCCTGACCCTGCTCTATGAGATGTCGTTGCAGGGGGCGGACTGCAAGTGCGAGGTGGAGAAGGACTACTGCTTCAAAGTGGGCCACGGCTCCGGCAGGGACTTCAGGCACATGGTGGACCTCGTCCAGACCACCTATGTCGTTCTGGAGATGGATACAGCTGTCAATACAAAGAGGGAGAAACTGCGCGAGACACTCAAAAGGTCTCCGGACGCCAAGGACGTATTGCTTGGAGAAGACCGCGAAAGATCGCTCATTTAAATGGCTGCCCAATGCTGGCACAGTCCTCATCACACTGCTAGATTTGTGTGCCCAAATTGAGTGTCGTGTGAGAGCAGTTAAGGGGTATTAATAGACCATCAAGGTCAATCAAATGAAAAGTTCAATTCACAAAAGGGGGCACATTGTGGTACTCAACCTTACAGTAACGATAACAGAAGTAGGCATTGAACGCAAGGTGGGGTGGTCTAACTTATCAAAGATGCCAGACTACCACTACAATGGTACAAGCACCACCGACACATAATGCCAGCCGACTTTGTTGTACTAATTCTTATCGCTTATCGCCAGAAAATGAAATGATTAAATATTATATGAGTGGCAAAAACAATAATAATACTCTTGCCAGACTACACAAAAATATTAATGGTTTTCCAGGGTTAAATAAATCTAAAATAGTTTGCAAATTTTTATTTCTCAAATCAAAAAAAAAACTCAATTTTTTTTTAACTTTTGAATGCCAACTTTTCATGATGAATACTGTACTTTTTGGGCCGACAAGCGCCTGTCTTGTATGTAGTGGCACAGTTCAACTACTACAGCAGTCAAAATCGTGAATAAAAGTATTTAAAATACCCTCCCAAAAAGAGTATATAATCGTCTGTTTTCCAAATTAGAAAAAATTAAAAAATTTTCAAATTATATTCTGGATCGCATTTTGAAACTTTTTGCTATTTCTTTTTAATTGAAGCGAATCTTTATCTGATAAATTTACTGTTATCTGTGTTCGTATCATCTAATAAATTCTTTATTATTTATACGAAAAGGTGTGTATATACAAAAGCAAACAGAACACTCAACAGCTGGTTGACTTTCAATCTCCGGTAAGTCTAGTAGCGATACTACCCATAAACAAACCATTTATTTATATTAAGTTCTATTACATACATTTGTTTATGTATTTATCAGCTGCTATACAATCAGCAATCTAAGGTCTATGACATTATCACAACTTTGATGTAACATAACAAAGTACTTCTGAATATTCACTCTTGACTCGACTCACAGATCGTCCAACAACTATACACAATGTCCACCCTAATCGGGGGAGAACGCACATTTCAGGCAACTCATAAAACTACGAATCACGCCATAACAAAAAAAAGCTTCAAACATTAAAAGCAACAAAAATCGGCACCAAAAACCGGTCGTACGTCCCCCACAAAGCCCCCGAGGCCAGACGAGTTCTATTATAGAGCAGCCGCAGCCGACAGCCACACGTGCTGTCTTTCGGGAATGGCAAACGCAAACAAAATGTTGATAATATAAAAGAAAATAATGGCAATGCTAAAAAAAAAAACAAAGCAAAACAAATGCGAAGCTGACGAAGATCGTGTGTTGTCGTGAAATAAAGAAAAACTAATCACTAAAGCTACAGAGCGGAGAACCAGACCAGATGGACGGCGATTAGAATGCCGGTGCTCACTCTGTTCTTGAACTTGGCGAGAGGCGGACGTTCAATTGGAAAAAATATAATAAGACTTAAATTGAATAAAGATCGTTAAAACCGTTGAATTCAATTCAAATACAATTGTGGCGTGTACAAGTGAATGTGTGAAAATATTATGAAAATTTGATTAATATTCGAGTGGAATTGTGATATCAAACATGATAAATAAGCGACTGCAGATTGTTTCTAGGCATGTGCTTCGGCAGGGATTCCTGCTCCAGGCTATGCGCAGGTAGGACACCAAAAGCAAGACCATCTTTTAAACTCCTTCCAAGGTTTTCCAAAGGAGTATCTGAGCCATAGGTGCTTGGTATGCCAACCCCAAGATAAAAGTTTCCAGACAATAAATGCGCAGTTTTTGCTGGGGTGTGTCTGTGTATCCCCCCCCATCTCCCTTTACCGACCAACTTCTGCACATATGTTGCGTAACCATTTCGATTCCAGCTGTTTTAGTACAGTTGCCAATTCAAAACAAAGATCTTCAACTGGGATAACTAACCAAGTGCCACGCCCCCCGTAACATAGTAGTGCTAAAAATAGATTAAAATTAAATTGGATGACATCTAAAAGATAAGCAAATATTTGTCGACAGAAAGTTCCATTCGCCTGATAATTTATGGGAGTGAAGACCCTCATGTGTTAATTGATATTCGATAAACGTGCCTTAATAGATATTTAATATTTACATGTACATATACACATATAGAACAATTGTTACCATCTATTACTTAAATTATGCAATTAGTATGTATGTATGTACATATATATGGCACATACATATGCATATGTAAACTGTTGGCTAGATTAGATAGGTAGTTTTCATCTAGTTGCGACTTCCTCCCCCAGCACCCAGCAAACACGCTTACAGCTTGCAAGTACATCATTCGGTAGAGAAAAACACTCTTAATAAAACCATAATAATATCATACCATCCATCCCACAGCACAGCAACAGACACACACACCTCTCATGCCATGCATTAAGCTTTAAAACGAAGCAAAAGCTTTGACATTAGCAAAGAAATGAACCCACTCTTAGCGCAGAAGCAACCAGCAGACTTGGTGAACAGAGACTTTGACTTTGACACGTAGCCAGCTCAGCTGTAGAAGTAATCAAATTAAAATGCTCGTATTACAAATTTAAAAATTAATCTTAAAAATAATTTTATTTAGTATTCCAAATAATGTTTGTATCCTATGTAGTGGTCTATAACTAAAAGTTACTGTGTAAATGTTTATACTATTTTAGACAAGTCTATCTCTCAAATTATATACAGACTTAATATCTAGGAGTACTAGTAGAGAGTATTAAGAATTCGTTTGGTAAAAGTGTTATCAATTAGTAGAAACCAAAAGAAGAAACATCTATAAATTTTTCGTGTTAGTAGTCCCAGATATATTCTAACACATTTAATTTTCCTCGTCCCCCTTAGTGTGTCCACCTCTATGCCAGCCCTCATCAGCTACCGACATCATATTGGCAAAGAAGCTCTAGTCTATCGCACTGTGGGCCAGGAGTTGGAGCTGTCGGCGTCGAAATATGCCGATACGGAAGCCATCGTCTCCTGCCAGGAGGGTAAGCGCTACACCTTCAAGGGCCTGCTGGAGGAGGCCGACCGTTTGGCGGCGGGATTCCGCAGGTTGGGACTGCAGCCGGGCGATGCTGTGGGGCTGTGGGCTCCCAACTATATGCACTGGTACCTGGGCATGATGGCATCCGCCCGGGCCGGCCTCACCTCGGTGGGCATCAATCCAGCGTTCCAGGGCCCCGAGGTAGCCTACTGCCTAAATAAGGTGAATGTCAAGGCCATTGTGGCGCCGGAGACGTTCAAGACCCAGAACTACTACGAGATTCTGCGCAGCATTTGCCCGGAGATAGTTGATGCCGATCAGGGAAAGATCAAGAGCGAGAAATTCCCACACCTGCGCTCTGTCATCATCGACAGCAAGGACGGTCTCAAGGGCGCTCTGCGCTTTGACGATTTCCTGGATCTGGCCAGCAAAACCGAGCGTGAGGAGATCGGCAAGCTACAAGCCAAGATCTGTCCCGAAAGTGCCTGTAACATTCAGTTCACGTCGGGCACCACGGGCAGTCCCAAGGCGGCGGCTCTCGCTCACTATAATTTTGTTAACAACGGCATCCATGTGGGTAATCGCAACGAGCTCGAGGGGGAGAGAATATGCGTCCAGGTGCCACTGTTCCATGCCTTTGGTGTTGTGATCACGATCATGGCCGGCTTGAGCAAGGGCGCCACTCTGGTACTGCCCGCGGCTGGCTTCAGTCCCAAGGACTCGCTGCAAGCCATTGTCCAGGAGAAGTGCACTGTGATACACGGAACGCCGACCATGTATGTGGACCTCGTGAGCACGCAGCGCAAGCTGCAGGTGCCGCTGGGCAGAATCAAGAAGGCCATCACCGGTGGAGCCATAGTCTCGCCGCAGCTCATCAAGGACGTCAAAGAGGTCCTGGGCGTTGAGGCCTTGCACAGTGTCTTCGGTCTGACGGAGACAACGGCCGTCATCTTCCAGTCCGTTCCCGGCGACAGCGAGGACAAAGTACTCCACACGGTGGGCCATCTGCAGGATCATGTCGAGGCCAAGGTAATCGATTCCGAGGGCAAGGTCGTGCCTTTGGGCCAGCCCGGAGAGTTGTGTGTCCGCGGGTATTCGACTATGCTGGGCTATCACGGCGATCCGGAGAAGACGGCGGAGACAATTGGCAGGGACAAGTGGCTGCGCACCGGCGATCAGTTCATCCTGGAGGCCAACGGCTATGGCCGCATCGTGGGTCGCCTCAAGGAGATGATCATCCGCGGCGGCGAGAACATTTTCCCCAAAGAGATTGAAGACTTTTTAAACACCCATCCGCACGTCATCGAAGCTCATGTGAGTACCAATCGAAGTTTACTTTAAGTGATTTATGACTGATGGGTTCGTTCTCTCTTTTTCAGGTGATTGGAGTACCCGATGAGCGTCTGGGCGAGGAGCTGTGCGCCTTTGTCCGCCTGAACGAGGACGTGGATCCTGCCACTTTCAACGTGGAGGCGTTGAGAGCATTCGGCAAGGGAAAGCTGGCTCACTTCAAGATACCGCGCTATGTGTGCCCAGTCGAGGCATTCCCCAAGACCACGTCTGGCAAGATCCAGAAGTTTAAGCTAGTGCAGGAATTCAAGGAGCGTGTGGGCAAGGATCGTGAGGCCGTTAGAGTTTAGAGATATTTTTACACCTGTAAATCGAACAATAAATTGAAGACTTTTTTTATCAGACGTCTTTCAATCGATTTGGTGGCCCCCGCCCCCTAGTGGAAATTCATTTTATAGTTTCTGAAACAATTACTTATTTATTTATGGGCTTCTTGAAATTATTTAGCAAAAAATATTCATAGGGATTTATTCTGTAGCAACGTTTCTCCCGCTGTTTTTTCTGCACCTGCTCAGGGACAGAGTTTCCTTTGATTGGCGCCTGGGGTTGGATTCCCTCTCAGCTGTAGTTCTCTCACACATAATAAAAATAAAAATAACATACAATACTTAAAAGTTAATGACAATGCCTGCGTGTTACAAAGTTTGCGTATTCCGAATCTATACATATAAAACTCGCATACTTCGGAGACTCGGATACAATCCAAGGATAACAAAAAATTAAAACATATGTAACTAAAACTAATACAAATTCATACGTACGCGAATATATATATATATGTATGTATGTCTATTTATATGTATAGTTGAGAGAGTACTCTCGTATAAACTAGGATTTTAAACAGTTTCAATTTGCGTTCCTTTCTCATTCCACAAGGCATTAAAAACTAAATAATAAATACGCGTACATCTAGAATTTCCATACAAAACACAAGAATAAAGCTTAAAGATCTGACATACTAATTGGTACATTATTGTTAATATTATTATTATTATTATTATTACACACGATTAGCGGGCGTTTAAGGTAAGTCATTTAAGGACATCGAGTGAATGGATTTGTTGTGGGTTTGAGCTTGGGGATTGTAAGTTGAGAATCGCTAGAGGCTAGTATTTGGATTGGGATTAACACATACATATACATATACGTGTACGAAATCAGCGAGTCGCGGTTAGAGTACAATATCAATATCAATATCGCTATGGTACGGGGTATCGTAATAAGTTTTATGCAAATATTCAACTGCTTCAGCTAAATGCTACCCATTACTTTACTGCAGGAGTTCTGCTCGTACTCCTGATTAGTTTGAAACATGTTTAAGATTTATATACGAGTATGTACTGTATGCAGCAGCTATCCTGAACTTGGCTTAGCTTTCTGTATGTTATATTGTTATATTGTGTGTGTCTGTGGGTGTTCCATTAAAAAAGTTACTGGTATACTTTAACATTTATGTGTCCCCTTCCATATACTATATTCCTATATTCCAATATTCCATATTCCGTATCCCATACTCGTATGACAGACGGACAGTGTGACGGCTCCGCTTGCAGTGCTCTACTAGCTGTAATTCTGTAATCTGTTATATATCCATGCATTATCCTGTTATACATAGGTAAAGTAGGGCATCTACTACATATATATATCATATCTACTACAATGCTAAATGCAATTATTTACACAAACATTTTCAATTCTGAAATATCAACTATTATATTTGTTTGTAAATTATATCATTATCATTTAAGGGTACTGCTGAAAGAATTGCCAAGCTATGCTTCCCCTCTGACTTCCATTTCATGTTCTTTCACAAGGTGTTTGGGCGCTTTAGAAGCTATCATCGTCGTCCTCATCCTCCTCATCGTCATCGTCGTCGTCGTCGTCCCCGGGCTCGCCCACAATGAGCTCCTCCTGCTGGACATCACTCACGGCATAGGCGGCCATCTCGTAAGCCTCTTCGGCTGCCTCGGCAACGGCAATCTGCTCGATGACTGCCCGCTCCTCGTAGCCCACGCCCGGCATGTCCTGTCATGCCTCGGCCTCCGCATCGGCGGCATCCTCCGACCAGCTGACCTCCATGGGGGTGCAGGGCAGCGCCTCCTCAATGGACATGCGGGAGGACGGCTGCTTCGGTCGCTTGGACAGGGAGCCCACCGAGGCCGTGCTGGAGGTGGAGCTGCGCATCATGTCCTCCGAAGAGGCCGAGCAGCTCTCGTCCTCGGAGTTGGCACCGGAGACCATGGCCTCGCCGGCCGACTCCTGAATCTCCTGAAACTTCTTCAGGGCATTGGCCTCGGACGACATGAGCTTAATGGTGGAGCTGCGCGGACGCATCTCCGACTGCAGCGTGGGATGTGGCGAGCTGGAGCAGACGGGATGCTGATCCTCGTTCCAGTCGGGCAAAAGCATCTCTCCGCCCAGCGCGGCGTCGGATGTGTGTCGCTTCTCGCAAACAGCGGACGTCGAAGCCGAGGCCTTGATGCACATGGAATGGGATCGGGTGCGGGCCTCCGACTCGCCGCTGAGAGAGTTGCCACGCATCAGCGCTGTGGCCGACATGCTCTGCGAGAGCGGATTAGGTCCAAGCGATGATGAGCCGCCGTTTCTGTGGACCGACGATGAGGTGCCATTCCTGAGGGACGACGATGTGTGGCCGTTGGCGTGTCCATTGCTTATCGACTGCTGGCGGCGCTGGATGGGGCTGCGCTCGTTGCTGCCGCGTAGGGATCCGTTGCGACGCACCATCTTTGCGGAGTTCACCTTGGGCGTCTCGCCGTCGATCTCCAGGGTCCAGCTGATCGAGTCGTTCCTCTCGATCATTCCCTTGATCATCGGCGATGTGGGCGATGACGATGACTCGTTGGTGCTGCGGCTGAAGCAGTGCGAACCGTCCTGCGAGCTGAGGGATCGCTCATGCAGCCGAGCCTCGGCATTGTGCAGCTTCTCGGTGCGCGTCTTGAGCAGATACACCATCTCCTCCTTGTCGAAGGTGAGACGAGTGCGCTTCATGCTCTCGTGGTTGTAGGCCTTCTGAAGTTCATCCAACTTTTGTTGAGTTTCCCTGCGAGAGAAGAAGAAAGGACTGTAAGCATGGAATTCCTTTGGCTTTGGGTTTCGTCTTAGTACTTACTTCTCCTTATCGGCTTTGGTCTCTAGTTCCAGCTGCAGCAACTCGTTCTTGGACTTCAGCAGATCCAGCTGATTGGCCAGCTTGAGGCGCTCCTCGCCCTCGCGCTTCAGGTCCGCGTTCTCCTTGGACAGCGACGAAATCTCCGCCTGCTTCAGCTCCAGGACGCAGCGCAAACTGTCCGCCTCGCTGGTCAGGCGGCACAGCTCAGCACTGGTGTCGGTCAGACTGGTGCTGGTGCTGGGACTACGCTGCTGGGACGAGGTGCGCAGCACGGATATCTCGTCCTGGGAGAGGGTCAGACGATCGCGCAGATCGCGCTCGCTGTACTCCTTGCTGGCCCGCAACGTGTTCAGCTCCTTGGTGAGGCTCTGGACGCGCTCGTTAAGCTCCTGTTCGCGCTGGGCTGCCTCGTGAATGCTGGTGGTGTGGATGTTCTTCTTGCGGATGAGTCTGTCGCGCAGCTCCTGCTCCTGTACAGCAGCCTTTTGCAGGCGCGACTGCAGATCCATAATCTGTACCTCGGCGGTAGTCAACTGATCCATCTTGAGGGCCAGCTTGTGCGAGACCTCCAACTGGTAGGCCTCCTGCACCAACTTGTGCTCCTCGTCCTTGGCCCGCAGCTGGGCCTCCAACTCGCAGAACCTTTGCTTCGCAAGCATTTGCACCTCCATTACTTTATCTTCGGCTAATGAAAAGGAGACATTTTTGGGTTAGTTTCGTGCATCGAAAAGGATAGAAATCCAAATTCTCACCTTGCTTCAGTTCAGTGCGATGCAAATGCTCCCGTTCCTGCTGCCGCTGGGCCCACTCCACATCCTTGGCGTGCAGCTCTCGGCGCAGTTCCTCGCAATCCCGCTGCGTCTGCTGCAGCAGCCCGATCGTCTCCTCCAGGGCACTTCTGTCCCGGGCACACTGCTCTTTGGTCTCCGCGCAGGCGCATGCATCCAGCTGAAAGGCACAAAACACACACAATAAACGTTAGTAGAGTCGCTATAAATCCGGCTATAAAGTGCCATTCGGTTCGGCCATGGATAGCTCTATCTGTACGGCGAGTAATTAAAAAGATATTTTCAAGAGTCTCTTTTGCACGGAAGTCGCAACAAAGGGAAATCGTCAGGAGCGAGGGAAATTCCCTCCGCAGACAATGCGGATGGAGAGGTCTGAGATGTTCGTTTCGCGGTTAAGGTCGCTTGGGAAAATCCCATAAAATACAATTTTTAATTTCCTCAAGAGATTTCCTTGTATTACTGCTCTAACCCTGCATACCTGTTGCTGTGCATAGCCCTGGGCATAGGCGATATTATCCATAAAGTTGGGTATCCTGCTGTTGGTGGGGCTGCGGGGCGCCGTCCAGCTGATCAAATCAAAGTCCATGGTCTGGGACGACAGTTTCTCGTTGGTAAAATCAAAATTGTCAAACATATTTGCTCTCGTTCTGTGCGCAGTAGTGTGTTGAACACGAATACTTGAAGTAGACTGATGGCCAAACGACCAGGACGATCTGCTTTTATACCCCGCACCCCGCACCACACACCCGACGCGGCAGGTAGATTACAGACAAGGAAGACATCTTGCAGGTAGTGGGATCAAACGAGTCTCTCCGGATATGCTGAGCAAAATATTTACCAGGGATTTGGATTTATGAGAGACGAACCAAATAATGCAATGCAATTTTTAAAACATGCTGCGAAAAGGGTTCTGGCAGTTCTGTTTTCTGGGTTTCGCTTCCTGCCCCAGTCCGCGCATGAAGAAAAAAACTAGAAGGGAATATGTAATGTGGGTGTAGCCCTCAGTGGCCAGGGGAAGGGTTGCATTGGATTCGCTTGGGCCCCGCCTCGCCAGCTACGGGGCAAAAGATTTCCAACTCCGTCCAGCCCAGCCCAGCCCATCCCAGCGGCTTAGGGATCGATCTCTGGCCAACTTCATGTGGTTTCGGATCAATCGAACAATGTGCCATTTGGTGCATTGGTCACGCGCTTCCCAGTGAAGGCAACTGCAACTGCATTTTGGGGCGGCTCAATGTGGGTGTCTTGAATGCACTTCAAATTCACTGTAATGGCGCGCACCTTCTCTGCAACACTTTGGGTGGATGCGTGTCGAAGTGAGCCGTGAGCGCCTCACAGGCACGGGCTGGATGGGTTCAGATGGTATGCCAAATGCCAAATGGTCTTCGAGTGGCTGTTACAAATTTGATTTAACTAAAACCAATTGCAATTTGCATAGGAATTTAGTGGGCACTTGAGGGACTGAGCTATGATCTGTGTAAAAGGATTATTCAGCCGCGTATCGCATGTACGATATGTCTACTCTAATTTCATTTCATTTCCTATAACTATTTGCTAGACTATCAAGATCAATGGCGCTCCATTCGTTGACGGTCGACAGTCGACTGGTTAATCCCGATCCACAAATTAAGAGGTGGCCGACTTGGCCATAGTGATTGCCATATCCACGCCTGCAGTCGCCGTTTCGCTGTCCAGCAAATTAATTGCCATCGTGTCGCTGTGTCGCAGACTCAGTCACTGCCTCCGAATCCGACTCCGTTCCAGACGGCTGACATTTGCTGGATGCCAGTCAATGCAGACATCAACGGAGACGACGACTAAGATGAAGACGAAGACAGGGACAGCGACAATTACCTGACAAGGACGTTGGCAATTAAAGTGTTGAAATCGGTGACTTGCCGCCGGGGAGAGAGAGACTATGAGGAAGAGTAACCAGTCCTCTGACTGGATTTAATCCTTTGGCTACGAATTGAGACAATTTCAGGTTGCGCACTCTACTATCTTAATGGATCGGCAATTGTCCTTCAGCGGACACTAAAAACCTCATAAAAACGAGCACGAGGCTGCTGAGCACAAACCAGCCCAAAAATTCTACATCTAGCCTTGTCCTTTCTTGCCTAATGTCCTTGCTGTTTACACTATGGTACGAGTATGTGTGGAGGACCTTGCCGCCTGCTTTTCCACGGTTTTCACACCAAACTGTGAAGTCTCACTGGATCGGATCATATCTAAATAAATATTTATGTTCCGTGCTGTTGCCACATAAGTTTAGGCTTTTAGTGGGAAAATATTCAAACGAGCTGCCGTGTGTTGCGCGATTTCCCGAAATCGTTACCCCGAAATCCCCCTCTGAAAAAACAAATCCCTCCGCGCGTTGCATGTTTGCAGACACGCGGCCATCGATGCGATACGATGCGATGCGGCCTAACCGGTAGCCGCATGCAACAAGTTACCCAAATATTGTGGTATGCTCTTCCACTCCTGATTCCCGATATCTACTATTTACATATCTACTATTCACGGGTCTCATGGGTACTACGAGGCCAGGTTTGTTTTTTCGAAATGTGAATAAAGTAAATATGGGAAATGCACAAAATAAATACACAAATTGCATTAGGACATGTGCAAGCGCCAATGGAGAACCCTCAACGTCGAAATTCAAGGGAATACAGAGTCAAATTTTTGTGCATTTTATACTTAAATTTTAAATCGAATTTGGAGCTATGCAGAGTAATTTGTTAATAGCCTGCATGGAATATATGCCATCAAGCTCCAGCGAGTCTCGACCAAAAGTTAAAGTGCAAAAATATTCCAATTTCGGGAGGAATATTGATTAGATTGGTGTATACAGATTTCAAGAGTATATAGCAGAGAAAACTAACAAAGGAAGTCCATCATTTCTTGTAAGTTAAAAGTTATAAGAAGAAAAGTTTTCTTTGGAATATTTTGTGGGACTTTAAATAGCGTCTTAAAGTCCCAATGAAGAACGGAATCATTCTTTATCAGATAATTATATAAAGCAGGAAAAGCAGCAATGAAATGTTAATCAAATTTGTATTCAAAATACATTCCCCTTTTTCTGGTTGCTCTGAAATGTTCCATGTACTCGGTATAATCTGTTTTGATATTTAATTGAACAATGTGTTAAAACTTGAATTATTTCCAAGCAAATTACCACATAACAAACCAAAGATTTAGTTAATCTTCTTTGGATTTAAGTTTCCCCAAGCGCTTAATGAATTCCGTTTCGCAAAAGTACAGAAAATCGAAACATACTAAAAAAGAGACTAATTTTAAAACTTCCTTAATACTTCCTGTTGCTTCACTTATTCCTGAAAATTTCCCCAGCTCAATGTGAAAATTTCCGAGCAACAGCTTAAGGGATTTTGAAGTTTTTCTTTATTTTAATGACTTTCCTTTCAGACCACCAAAAAAAAGAATCCGAGTAAGGGGAAATGTTCGCAAATGGCCAACGCAAATGACATCAATACAATGGCAGCATCTGATGACACATATTGTGCAAAGGCATGGGCATTATGTTGTCATCTTTTCATTGCATAAGACTGAGTAAAATCTTAAAATATCCCGGAGCAGCAGTTGCAGAGTCTCGTCTCTTGCTTGTGTGTCTTGTGTGGCAATTGTTTCGATTATCCTTGGGACTTGTGTGAGGTATGCACTAAAGCCAATGGATTTGCGCAATTGTTAAAATTTTGGATGACACAAAAGGCTTTGCTGCTGTCCAAGACAAAATGTGCCTGAGGAACTTTAGTGTTCTCTTCACTCAGAGTGGCTTTAAAGTCTCCACTCCTCTGTTCTGTTCTGTTCTCTTCTGTTTTGTGATGTTCTTTTAAACAGCAGGAAAGTGACAAGTTCAGACAAATCGCAATTTCGAATTCTACCTAAAGCAATTGCGGTTGAAAAGTCAGCAGACAAACAACATCATAAATCGATTTATGATGCCCAGAGGCGATGATGTCTCGGAAGGATGTCTACTCCTCCACATTAACCTGTCATATTCGCCCATATGCAAATGTTAAACTAATGCTTTTCGCGTTTGTCGCTGATTTTTATGACCTTGTTATTGGTATTTAATAGAGGGCCGCGGATAGCCGACCCTTCCTCCGAACAGGTAGTGGCTGGACTCCGCTGGGCAAAAAAAATATAGCCATGGCTTAATCAAGGAGCAAATCATCATAAAGAAAAGGGAACCGTTTTCGACATCCTTTAACTGGCAAATCTCGACAAAACTCACACGTGCCCCGGAATTTTCATTTGTCTGATTAAATCCTTTACACCGAAAATGGCAAACACTTAATTGAATGGATGGAACACGGTCTCGGTCTCACTCTTCCTTGCTTGAACTAGAATGTGCCACTGGCTCACACCCTTTCATTTTGTGTTAGAGAAAGGCTTTCACACAGTTCCACATCCGAATAAAAGGAAAAGGGAAACGGGTAAGCGAGTACGATGTATGTACATATGTATCTAAGGATTTTTGGTAGCATCTGCTGCCTGGAAAACTTTTGTGCAGAATTTTCAGTTTTTAATTAGTGCAAACACAAAAAGTGAGCCCCGGATCAGGTTTCGTTGAGGTTTCTGCTTCGGCTTAGACCGCACTGACACAATTAAACAAAATTAGCTCAACTTTAAGCATAGATTAAGGCAAATTTCTCAAACAATAGCAAGTCGGCCGGTCGATCCATCAATCCCTCGCATATAATAGAGCAGAACATATGGATATGGATATGGCAAAGGGAACAATTCGGGAATTATTAGAGCAGGTGAACCCATGCCCATGAGCATACATATGTGGAGGACAATTACAATGGGCTGGGAAAGAGACGCGGATACGCTGAAGGATGTTCAGCTTCAAAGGGCTGAAGAGACTGAATGTCTAGGTATAAATCCCTGGCGCCTGCTTCTGCTAAATCCTCTCACTGATCCGCTACACATCGAACAACCGGACTCGTTTCTATTTATTGGTCACTCGTCGAAGTCTACTCTGTACTCGGTACTAACCTTTTGAGACATGAACTGAACCATTACAGCGAGTCCCATCATCTGACGCTGCTCCTGCTGCCTCTCGCTGAGGTTAGCATCGAGAAACTCTGTCAAGCGATCATAGTCCAGCACATTATTCTTAGTGAAGGGCTTCAGGGCGGGATACTGGATGGTTATGTCCCCGCGGGGACCGGCAAGCACTGTCATCGAACTGCACGACTTTCCAATGGCTTCGCAGACTGGGCTCGACTGGAAAAGATTTGAAAGTAAATTATTAGAATAGTTTATCGCTTATATATTTATAAGCATGAAATCTTACCTTATTTGTACTAGTTATATTACGGGTTATGTTTTCCTGATCTTTCTCATCCTGTTTGAGCATCTCCTTAGCTGCGACTGCATCGGATCCAGTCTGTTTCGGGGCATTGACTGGTTTGCATTCGCACTTCTTGAGCTTGGGTTCCGTCTGACATTTGCACCCAATGTCGGAGACACCGCAAACGCAGAGCGACTCTTGGCTAAGGGAAGCCCGTTTCGAGTCCCTCGGCGTTGGCGGTGTCGGGCATCCATTCGAGGACTGTCCATTGAGCTCCAGCAGCTCCGTTTGATCCACGCCAGAACGCAAAGATTCTGTAAAGAGAGAGGGAGGGATTTCAAAATGTCATTAGTCAAGTGACAATGATGGGGAAATATATATTAAATGTAGCCCATGGATTAGCCCAAAACTATCCCCAAGGTAACGACATTATGCAACTTTCAAATGGCGAAAGTCTTCGCTCATTAACTCATCTCCCAGATGAAGATAGACCTGAAAACACTCCTCCTCCTCGATGAAGATTAGCCAGAAGATGAGTTAACACTGCTCCCCCATGAAGATGAGGCTGAGGATGAGCTAACGATGATGAGGTAGGCCATGATCATGATTCATCTAACGATGAACTCAGCTCCACTCTCTTCCCCCAACTCGTCCAAGCGTCACGCAAAAAATGAGTAATTGCCTCGTGCCCGTAGACGACAAAAAACAAAAACTAAAAACCGCAATGGCAATAAATTTTCCTTTTGCATAATTCCATTGACAAAAGGGAAAGCAAGACAATCTTCGGCAAATGCCGCTACGAGGTGTAAGAGCTGCCACACCCATAACACTATATTGTAGTAAGTAGTAATGCCATAGGTCGGTGCCGTTGCTGGTGCTGGAGCTGGTGCCGTTGCTGGGGCCCATCATCATCAATTACCCGACGCTCTCTGTCCAGCTGCGAAGCTGTCAATTAGAGAGGATGCGTGGCCAATTTTTTAGCCAACAAATTGGCCTTGACAAGCCCCAAGATAGGGAGGCCCCCAAGTCCCCAGCCAAGAGAGAGAGATATAGGTAGGAAGAGGTGTGTTTGGGGTTCACTAACCGCCATGATCCATCCATCGATCAGTCCATAATTTACACGATTTCCTTACAAGCCACGCGCCGTTTTGCGGTTCCAAATTGAAGCTGTCTCTCGGCCTGGCCTGGTCTGGTCTGCCACAGTCAACGGTTGACGGTTTTATGTTACCACATAAATTTACGAGTATAGCCAAAGCGGCATACAAAGTTGACGATGTTTGCACAAGATTGGTAGGAGCACATGTCTCATATGACAATTGCTCTGGTCTCGTGTACCAGGAAAATTTTTTGCTTGTCTCAAATGAAAGGGGAGGAGTTGTCTTCCGGAGTTTGCCAGATTTAAGATCATTACCGCCAGATGATTATTCAAATATTGAAAGCGAAATTGCCTTGTCACCAAGGTTTAGTTGAGCGGAAAAGTCCATTGAAACTGGTTTTTCCAACATGATCAAAATGAAAATGTGGGTAGTCATAAAAACGTAAGGTAGTTTACATTCAAATCTTACAATATTACTTTAAATGAAATATAAAATATTGATAATTTCAATCAAAATCAAATCAATCTGAAGCTTATTTGGTTATTTGATTTTATGATAAACGAATAGTATTTTTATAGATATATTTATAGCCGCTGCACTGACAAACATTTCATAGACAACTGTTCATAAATTGTTGCACAAAACTACAACCCGCGCTTGCAGTATAGCTATCAATGCATTAAGTCAATTAATGAATTAGCCGACGACTGCCGTTGACAGGTGGATGCAACTGGAATTCAAGTGGACAAAATGTTACTTTCGCATCTATCCACTTTTAGAGATGTGTAATGTCAATAAATAAACGATACATGCTACAGAAACTACAACTAAACGAGATTTTCAAAATCTAAATTAAAGAGGAGTCGAGGTGTAATTGCAGGAGGGAAACAAAAATTATTTAGAAGCAAGCACAGTAATTTTTTGAGAAAATTTAGCAAAGGTCAATCTTTAAATAATAGCAATTCAGCTTGGTGTTCCCTGGCTATCCCATTACTTGAATATTCTTCCAAGAACATATTTCATAACAGGCAATCATTAATGGAGGAACCTTCGACAAAGTCATTGAGGAGCAGGCACACCTGATGCCGTCTCTCCCCTGAACTTCCTCAATGACACACGCCGTGCGAGCGACTCGAACGGGTCTGGCACACGACAGGCTCGTTTGTGATTTCAGCCAAGAAACAGAACATTTCGCATGGCAATTAGGCAATTAAATGACATTGGCTACGACCATTTAATTGCAAGGCCAACAATATTTGCCACGGCTCTGCTCTCACAGTTCAGTACACCTCGAATCCCCTTGGCCCTGCGTAATTTCCAACAATTTCAGTCAGAATATTCTCACGGCCCGACTCTCGCGGGTCCCTGTCGAATCGCAACAAGTTGCTGACAGGCTCAACCTGGTGACAGCCGAGCCGACGGGTGGTGCTCGCGGGGAGTGAGACCCGAACCGCGATTCCATTCCATTTGGACGATTTTATGGCACGGAAACCGACCACCTCAGTAGTTATATGGCCGCCTTCTATTTCACAATTCCTATTCCCATTTCCCATCCTATTTTTCACTTGGTTTGCAATGGGTCTCGGGAAAAACTCAGCTGCGGGTGATTTCATTCAGAAATTTTCTTGCTGTGTTGTTTTTTCGTGGTGGGAAAAGTGTTGTTTGGGCGCGTGGATTTTCCCAAATATATGGAAGGAAGGTTGTGACTTCATTAGGGATATGAATACTAGTTTGAATTTAATTGGTTTTGTACTAGCTAAATAAATTATTGGGAACAAGGCTAACATTAAAGAGAGAAGCAATAAGTGCGTATAGCAAAATTTTCCTCAACTCTCAAACAAATGCAAATTACATTGTCGCATATCTATACTTAGTTCATCCAACAGCAGCTACTATTTTTCTCTCTTTGCTGGGGATTTTCCCCCTTAACATTGTTTGCACCTTGTGTCATTCCAACAGTGGCAGACAGCATCCATCCACCTCCTGGACAACTCTCCCCCATACAATATCAATCAACATCAACTGCAACAATCCATTGAATGTTCAGTATTTGCACATGGGGTTTCGGTTTTGGTTTGGGTTCGGTTTCGGTCAGCCAAGCTCATAATGACGGTTTGGTTTGGGTTTGGGTTTGGTATGGGTTTTTGTATTTGCTTTTCAGCTAAAAACTCAACATGTGTCAAACTGGGACGGTGTTGCCAGTCTCTCGCGGTGCACGGAGCACGGTGCACAGTGGGCTGTGATGCTGTGATGCTGTGACACTGAGACGGACAGCTGCCGGGACGGACACTGTAAGGCTCTACATGTATGTATCTTTGAGGCGGTGCGCCGTTTGGGCGACAGAAAATAATTGAAATTCCAAAATATCTTATTTGGCATTAGGCAGCTGCCTCTGTCTCCGGCTCATTGTTGTTTTTGCCATTTTAGTGAATTTTGGAAAATTCAACTCCAGCAACCTGTCTCAACCCATGGCGACCCACAAAAAACACGTCCGTCCAATGGAAATGCGCGTAATTAAAACGAGCAGCAACGACTCGAAACTGGCATTTCAATTAGCTGCGTTTGGAAAATGCTCAAAAACCAAAAAACAAAAACAAAAATCACTACACTTGACTCAACTCGACTCGACTCGACACAACGCTACTTGCCCCGACTTGAAAGCTAAACGTCGCTTGTCTCTGTCTATCGTTTGTAGCTGTCTCTTTCACTGCATTTGTAGCTGTCTCTATCGCTTCAGTGTCTGCTGTCCCTATCTCATTGTGGGTCTCCATCGTCTTTGCTGTCTCTGTTTTATTTCGCGCTTAGGTTGCAGCGATTTTTTGGGGGAAATGGGGCTATAGGAGGGTGTACTCGTACACTCGTAATACAGACAGTCGTCAGCCTTTGGGGTTTATTGCTGTGTGTGGCAGTCCATTTGGTGCTTTGCTTTAATTGCAATTTAACAACAAATTGTTTTAGCAACGAGCCACAGACACTGGACTGAGGCAGAGACAGTCCGTGGCCCCAAACACTATTAGTGGGCGAGAGTCAAGTGGCAGGCCGCGAATTTCTACAAATTCTTACTCGACATATAAGTATTTGAAAGAAAATTGAATAAAAAGTCTTAAAGAATGCAGAAGAATATTTTACAAGAAAGGGGAAATTAATTAAAATTTCGATAAGGGATCAAAGATTATTTTTACTCTTTGACGTCAATAATCTATTATTTACAAAAGAGTTCGTTTGCAAGGTTTTATGCATAGTTCTAAAAATATTCAAAGGATATATGTATGTATCTTCAATTAAACATAATTCTATGGCCTAAAAACATGTGATTGTGATTGACGTCAATCAAAAGCAGACCAAACGAATTATATGTAATTTTCCGCTTCTTTTCTTTCCAAAAACTGAACACACTCAACAAATTTTCACCGCAACTGTAGGCTTAATTAATTAATTATATTGGAAAATCGACCATTTCTCTGGATTAATAGATACACATTTAATGAAGCCCCATATATTTTACATATGTATTGTATTTGCTTTTTCATAAATTAGTTAAATGTACTATTTTGCTACAATGATTTCTTCAACTGAATGAAAGATACATATTCCTCATCCTAATTTCTATTCAGTGCTACATTTTCTTTATGCAGGAAGAAACATACCGGCAAATGTTATTCGTTAAAAGCACTTCCCTTTAATTGAACATATCCCATAAACAAACCAATTGAACTTATCCCCCTTTCAGCAACTCTCTCCCCGTTAGACCCTAAATGACACTCATTTGTAAACACTATTTGCACTAAATTATGCATTCAGCCAGTCAGGAAAAATAAAAAGACCAGCAGCCAGGTCATTTATAAACAACTCTCAATGGATAAACACTAAAGAAGGGAACCGAAAGAGTCAACAACGAAGAATAAGGCCATAAGATGGCCAATGGAAAAACGTTGCAGGCCATTCGCAGTACGGATGTATATATTATAGACACCCGATCGATTTCTGCTTAATATCAATCAGTTCCATGACTAAAGGCAAAAGTCTTTATGATGGGCGCCGAGACAGACAGAGACAGAGATCGCTTCAAACTGCCAGAGTTGTAGGCAGTGATGAAAGACACATATGAAGGGATTTATAGCGCATCAGGGCAAGATTTTCATTTCACTCATTACAGTGGGATATCGCCACTCATTTCGTATCTGTCTGGAAAACAATGCCTATAGGAACGCACACAT